ACACCTCAATCTCTTCAGCATGCTATGCAATTAGGAGCCTTCGAGAAGTAGTAGAAATAAATATCCTAAAATCCGTTTACTAATAGAGTCAAAGTTCAGATATAGTATACAACTGTGGGGAAATAGTTACGCTTATAATATAGAGAGGGCGTTCATTTTACAAAAAAGAGCTATAAGAACTATAGTCCGCATTCCCCAAATAGAATCATGTCGAGAACATTTTAAAAGTCTTGGACTATTGACGGTGCCTTGTTTGTATATATTGACAACATTGTGTTACTTATCCAAATATATGCACGAGGTTGAAACCCACGAAGAGAGGTTAGTTAGAGAGAGCACGCGGAGGAAACATATTCAACATACAATAAACCCTAGAATGAATATAGCTCGGCACTGTGTTCAGTATCAATCCATTAAACTTTTTAACTGTTTACCGGAAAGCATAAAAAGCGTAATTTATAGGACTTCTTTATTTAAACAAAAACTTGGAGCCTTCCTGTTGGAAAATAACTATTATTCCATCAATGAATTTATCAATCAAAATATATGCAATTAAATACTTAATAACTTATGTAATAATAATAAATATTGTGAATAATATTCTTGAATCATGAAATGCCTTAATATAATTTATCGTTTTTTTTTTGTATTCTGCATGACATATTGTAAAATCTATCAAATTTATTTGTTTTTTGATTATTATGTTATTTATATTTTTGTTTTAATTTTTAAATATTTTTTGTATTACGGCGAATTGTTATACATTCAAACACAATTATATTATTGTTTGTGAATAAATGAACTATGAACTATGAACTATGAACTCCTGTGGTATATCTGTTATTAATTTTGATGTTCTGTATGTATGCAAGGTCGATTGATCTATTTGCCTTAAATTCGTGATACAAAGGTGACCACGGGCCCTCTCTATCGAGTTTATCAACAAGTTTCTGAATTAAGTTTGCCTTGGATTTTTCCACAGCAGCTCTGTAGTGGGACCTGGCAACTCTAAGAGCAATGAGAGCATTGTTGTACAAATCTCCTGTTACGTTATGTTTTTTAATAGTGTTAATTTTCTAGGAGCTTTCCGGTAGCTTCTACGTAGTTCGGCTAATCTATCATTCCACTAATCACATCTACGAGTGTTAGTGATAGATCCGCGACCAATAGTTACATCAGCGCAGTATGTAAAAGTTTCTGATAGTATTTCTGCGCTTTCCTCAGCTGATAAACTACTGCGACTGAAGTCTTTGGTATGAGTTGCAAAGAGTGAACCAAACAAAGCCCAGTTCGCACCTTTAGTTTTATATCTAAAATTATAGGGAGCCCTTTGTGGATCCTGTGCAACCCTTGGTATGAATTCGTCCACGATCAAGCGGTGATCACTACAGGATGCGTCCGGAAGGACACGCCATCCGGATATCGAGACGTCGCCGCGCATAAGCGTCACGTCAATAGAAGACTCACCCATTGGGTTGCAAAAAGTTGGTGGTGCATCGGGGGTATTGTGAATAATAAGATTCATTTCCGCTAGAAATCTTCAACCGCACAACGTCGAACCGTGTCGGTTGAACGCAACTTGCCATACCATAATGAAGATGACGCATTGACATCAGCGCCAATGATAATTTTATGTCCCACGAGGAACTGCAAGACGTAACGTAAGTGATGTGAGTGAGGATCAATAGGATGTGAATATTGAAAATAGCAGCTCACTACGTAAACCTTACAGGTAGAGGATGAGATCTCAGCAACGGCACAGTGTGACGTCATAAGATTACGCAAAGATGTTACCGTAAAATTAGAACTTGCAACATATATCCCAGCCTGCGAACGGCAGTTAAGCTGTACTACATTACGACGCAAGTGAGCGCTCTGATATTGTTCTTGTAAAAGGACAATGTCTAACTTTTGTTCTAAAATTAAACGGTCTAATTCTGATGTAGCTATTTTATCGTTATGAAGATTTAGCTGGCCTATCGAAATATTATTCATTACTTAGTAAGTTACTCTTTAAACTTTTTTTTTTTTTTTTTTTAAACTAAGTTAAACTATTCAGTAATTGGTATTTAATATTAGCTGTTCCAGTTTTAATTTGTATGTGGCACAGTCATATGAGCCGAATCGATGGTCAGATGGTTTTTTGAACCGCTTACACTGTGCGCACGTGGGCTTAAAATCTGGTGTGTCTTTATCTGGACAAGCTCGCGTTTCGTGTGCGGCGGCGCAATTAGCACAAGTAGGGGTTTTAATGGTGCAAAACTTTTGTACATGACCGAATTGCTGACAACTTAAGCAACGAACTACTTCTATATCGTCTATGAATCTACATGTGGCCCAGTCTATATAAAGTTTATCTTTTGTGTTGGCTAGATGTTTCCGAACTGCTGCCTCTAATTCTAAGCCTATCCCCATTGACGGCCATTTTCTAGTTTACGATGCCTAACAATTTTGGGTGACTTAGTAAAATCGTTCTCACTTAATTTTAATTCGTCCTTGATATTCTGACGGTATAGGGCTGTTAGGAAGGCACGATCTTCCATAGAACCGGGTACGTCTTGTACAGGACTACTGGTATACTGGGTAAGTCAACCTAATTTAAGAGATTGTTGTAGTTTCATTATTTCTGATAGATTTCATTATGAAATACCATATCCCAAAAATAACCATTTTCAACATATTGGACTTTCAGATTTTTTATAAAAATCGCCGAAATTTTGCCTATTAGCACTTAAGAACTTTATATCCTTTATTTTATGCTATTTTTTTGGGCCAAAGTAGATGGCTAATAATAGAAAAAATATTTAAATCTGTAAAAAAAAGAATTCCTTGACAAATAACATAAAAAAATAAATGACAGTGAAACTGCAGATTTAGTAAAAAACATGTACGTATTCTCAGCTATCTAACAAGGTATAATAGTGTAGGACACCGCGGGTGTTAAGAATTAGCGTTCAACCCGATAGTCTCTCGTTGAAAACTTGGCTTGTTTTTGGACTGTTTCGTTTTCTAATTGTGACTAACTATTGCTAATTAGACTTTGATTTGTGCTTCTGATTCTGTTGTAGATCATGACGTATACGAACAAAGAATATGTTATCTTGATTTACGAATACTGCCATTGCGAATACTGCGGATGAATACATAGCACTCTATCCCGGTTGTCGAGTGCAGGATGTTGTTGATGTTTATTGTTTTGGACGGAAACTATAGACAAATTAGTGGCAGGTTCTGTTTCGAGGCGACGACGAGATCTGGATAGGTCACGTTTCACTGATGAAGATGATGAAGAAGACAACGAGGTAATTCAACGATTTAGATTCGATCCAATAACTTCAACGACTATTGTTGACCTTTGACTATGAGCAGATATATATTAATGAATCAAATAGGATTAAAAAAAAGCGGCCAAGTGCGAGTCGGACACGCCCATGAAGGGTTCCGTAGCAGCAAGTAACATAATATAAAAGTTCTTGAACCTGCCCCCCGCGCGCTCCGCACCCACTACCGTTCAAGCCACCAGAATTATAATTATTGTGTACTTGGGCACCTATTACAGATTTATTATTAGAAAATATTGGTTCACGGTTTATGCATAAGGTTTATGTTTATGAAATTCAAGGTTTTTTTTTATATTTGAGTTGATTGCATGAAAGGTAAATTGCGGTGTACGATTTATGACGTATTAAAACAAAACTACTTACTAGATCTCGTTCAAACCAATTTTCGGCGGAAGTTTGCATGGTAATGTACATCATATATTTTTTAGTTTTATCATTCTTTTATTTTAGAAGTTACAGGGGGGGGGGGATACATTTTACAACTTTGGAAGTGTCTCTCGCGCAAACTATTCAGTTTAGAAAAAAATATATATTAGAGACCTCAATATCATTTTTGAAGACCTATCCATAGTTACCCCACACGTATGGGTTTGATGAAAAATGAGTTTCAGTTCTAAGTAAGGGGAACACCCAAAATTTATTGTTTTTTTTTCTATTTTTGTGTGAAAATCTTAATGCCGTTCACAGAATACATCTACTTACCAAGTTACAACAGTATAGTTCTTATAGTTTTGGAAAAAAAGTGGCTGTAACATACGGACGGGCAGACAGACATGACGAATCTATAAGGGTTACATTTTTTGCCATTTTGCCACTCAATATCCAATACATAAAATAAACTCTTTCTGCTGCAAACTCAAGAAACGTTTGTAATTACTTATATATAGCTTGAATTCGTATATTTTTTTGCTATTATTAATCATTGTTACATGAACTATTTTTTTCCTTGCCCATAAACATGAATGTTAAAAGTACACAAGCACTTTTAAACAGATTTTTAAGGATTGGGCATTTATGCGACCAACGAATTTGTTATTATTGGTTAAAGACGGACTGAGTTTCCAAACAAGGGAAATACAGGAGTAAGTACAAACAGTAGCTTAAACAAGTTTCCATAGGGCAAAAAAATAAAATCATCTGCTCCTGTATGTTTTCCTACTAACAAGATGTAAGTCTGATGCACTGTATATGTAATTTCTCACTCTCTCTCTTTTAAAAACTCTTATTTTGTATTTACGAACCTAAACTCTAATAATAACCATTAAGGTACACTTATAAATTTTCAATGGAATAAGATAAATATTTAGTAAAACAATTAAAAGTAAAAAAAAAAACATTAAATGTAGAACCTCTCGGGATTGAAAACCTCTACAATGTACACTATTAAGGTAGCGGTACCAAATTATAAACAATAAAAGAAATAAAGTTTGTAAGTTATCATTTGTCAAAATGGCGATAAGGTGCTTTTTTTATAGGAGCAGACGAGCCAATTTTGTGTTATCTATATCCTTTGATACCAGTTTCAGTAGTAAGTATTTAAATACCAGGAATAACCCACTGAGATGACTGTTTTATAAAAAAAAGTATCTGTACGGCAAGAAATAGGTACCTAAATTCTGAGTAACAAATAAATGTTATCAATAAAATATATTAACTCACCTGTAGGCTGATAGTTGTAGCCGTACGTATCTGACAATACGAGTATATTGCTACCACGTCTGAATGGACAGTGGTAGATTGATACTGGAAAGATAAACGTGTCCGAATTGACATTAGTTGCTTGGTTGGTCCCGTATCCATCAAAGTACCATATTGGCAGATCTGTAATAAATAATTAAATTCTTATAGGCTGAAAACACTGTAGAAGGTATTAAACCTATTAAATTTATATTTTCAAATACCAACCGTTATACTTTAGATTCTAGAATTTTAGTTAAATAAACTTTGGTAAAAATTTGATCATACACATAGATAAAAATCAAGACCTGCATTTCCAGCTAATCATAATCATTTAAAACAAAACATTCAAAACGGAATAAAGACGAATTTTGACTGCCAGTAAGTATGAATAAATAGCTAAGTTCTTTTTGGGACTTTGTAACATCATATTCCTAAAATATTTTAACTATGTTTTCAAGCCAAAAGAAATATCGTAAATAGTAGCCACTGTTATGAATAGTAGTAGAAAATCCGTGAGATACAAAGATCTATGAAATGTTTTGAACATTGGCCACACAATAATTCACGATACACAATCCATTATGTTCCTAATCTAACACATATATACCACAAAAAGAAAGCTTTAGTTCGGGCCTCAATGTCCTCACCTAGATATATGTTTTAGTATAGGATACCACATGTGTGTGACAATCCCATATTGTCATTGATATCTGTTGAAGATTTTAAACTGATTTTGATTTCGCAATAAAATATTGTTATCCAGTCAATTAAAATATTTCTCTAGTTACAATCCCTATTCAAACTAATAAAAACTATAAAAAATAGGTCCACACAAAAAACAATAATGATATAGACTTTCCCGCATCAATTACACATTATTAAAACTATTACTCGCAAATGTAAGTTAATAATTAAATTATAGAATAATCCATGTCCATCCATTTTCTTTAATTTGATGTCAAATATGTGTATTTTGCTTTATAGTTTGCGTATTATTTTCAAAACAGTGGAAAGGTTTTTGTTCATTATTTACACCCGGTTCGAATTTCAGAAGATTCCGGGTTCAAAACCCAAAAAAGTATTTTAACTTACTTTGATAAGTATGGATTCGTGCTGCACTGTGACGTGACACGGTACGACCCTAACATAGTTGAATATCAAGTAATTTTTTTGGAGGTGGCGTAAGATATTGAAAAAACACCCACCGATATATCGATGCCACGCGCCAAATGTGTTAACGTTGAACATCCAGGTCAGTACAATTTAAATCGCTTTTAGGTATAGGTTAAGGCAATTTTATTTTCAAAATAGCGAGGCCAAGTTATAATAATAATTCAATACGATTGAGAAAATGTTTCCATGAGTCGTTGCCCTTACTGTCAGGGCGTCAGGTGTGCCCTTAAAAGGAAACCCCTGTCAATCCCAGCAGACTAAGCCGCCCGCGCGCCCTTTCAATAATAGGCAAATCCGTTGTGATGTGCGGGATCTCCTCTAAACATAAATGGCACAGGTTAAAACAAAAATCAGTTAATACTTATCAATCACAATCAAATGCAATTATGTTACCTTCCTAAGCTGTACCGTAGACAACTAAAAAACTTTTGTTAGCCAACACAAAATATTTAAATTTTAGTTTTTACACAATTGTAAGATCTCGGAATATATATATGGGCTCCTGTAAATGTAAGTATACATATTTATAAATGGTAATGACTACGAATTCAGGGTGATATCTGATTCCGTTATGGAGGATTGGCTCGAGGGGCGTCACGGGACCCTCTCATACCGACTGACGCAGGTGATCACTGGGAAGGGATGTTTCGGGGATGTGTCTGATCCGCAAGGAGCAAACGCCTGAGTGCCACCACTGCGATGGCCAGACCGTGGACACGGCTCTCCACACGCTGGCAGAGTGCCCGGCGTGGGTTGAGCAGAGGCGAGACCTCGTGGCGGCCATCGGAGTGGGAGTTCTCTCGCTCGATAGCCTGATTGCGGCTATCGTGCGGAGCGAGAGTGCGTGGAACTCTGCCGTCTCCTTCTGCGAGCAAGTTATGCTCGCGAAGGAGACGGCGGAGCGGGACCGGGAGAGGTTTAGGACTCTCCCGGCCCGCCAGGCCCGGGAACGGGCCAGGTACCGCAGGCGACTCAGGCGCCGGAGGTCGCAGAACGACCTCCGTCCTCCATAAGCGCAGGCCTGGGGGTGACAGGTGAGGCCATCTGTCACCCTAGCAGAAGCAGGCCGGGGTGGCGGCGAGCGCGTTGCGAAGCGCGCTCGCTTCCAGGGAGCACAGGGAACATGGGGGTCGTCTACTCGTATGTAGATGACCCGAGATATGTCGGGGCACGAGGGACTTCCTTTCTAGGATATACCTGGTTCTCCGGCTATTAGTACCCGAGACGGCGTGCGGTTTTAGTCGGTTCGAGTCCGACATGCCACCGACAGGTGGTATCCGAGGGGATTTCCGCACGGAAAAAAAAAAAAAAAAAAGGGTGATATCTGATTGCCTATATATGTACCTACAATAAATTCAATAATGCCGTAACACTTCGTAGATTAAATTCGATCAAATTATGTTAATCTACCTGTCCAGTTACTAAATCCGTCTGTGTGTGCCCATTTCATTATCGGCAAATTTGCATATTAAAGGAATCGTAATTAGTATCTGGTGAATACGCTTCGACGAAAAAGCATTGGTACATTCTAATGCACACTGAATATTATCAGATTTCATGTAGAGCCAAACTACTAACTCTACATGCCCTAACTTCACAGACTACCCCCCTCTATGCAAAATTATTTTATGTTTATTAGTTACTATGAGAATGATTGTACAGAACAGAAAAATAATCCTTACGCCCATGTGACAATAGCAAATATTTTTCGTTACCTTACACCCATGTGTATATATTATCCGTGTGGTGACGGATTAAGCATACGGAATGTCACTGCCCACTGTCACATCCCAAGAGCCGACTAAGGAAGCAAGCTACTCAAGTCAACAGCTCTGCAAAGAGAAGGAAAACTAGAAACAAACCCCGTAACCAATTCGTATGGCCAGCGTGGCCTGACGGGTCGGTACGGACGGACGGGACGAATAATTTGCGGAGGCCTCATACAAACATTTTAGATTTTTTGTTGTTTGTGTACTAATGTTAGTTTACATATCAAATCCCTAAAAAGATCATCAGTGAGTCAGTGACGAAATCCGGGATTATTACATATCAATAAAATGTAAAGGTTTAGATTTTCAAATTTAAAGGTTTAGATTTTATTTAATTGCTATTGAAACTTTATATGTTTAGTAAGGTCACTATACTCTATTGACATCATATCCCGAGAATTTTGTTTATCTGGTATAATCCAAACATAAGTTTATAGCGGGCTCGAATTATCCGGCATTATCCAATTCAAGTACCACGTATGCGACCCTGAATTGCTTGAGCTATTTCTTGTGTACTCTTTAATCCAATTGAGTAAGCAATATTAGTTTTTGCCAGCAATTGCGTTCCTTATTTATTAACCTTTCCTTATAATGTTTAATGATCCTAAATTTGCCCATCTAATACCTGAAATACGTGTTTAACTATTATTATATTCGGCAAAATCATGTATGTGTACATTAAAACATTGTAGTACTCAAAAACCTTGGTATAAAAAAAAATATTAACCTTTGTGTGTTTTTGGAACAAAATCAAAGGTTCTGTCTTTAGACCTCAGGTTTATGCCAGTACCGTCTATCCACACATAGCTGGCCAGTATAGATTCACAAGGAATCTCTAGGTCTTCATACTTGCGCATTGCTGCCTTATTCAAGGCTATTGGTACTGCATTCATGGTTGTGGCTACAAAAAAATGTATAATACGATCAATATGAAAGTAGAACAAAAAAGTTATGTAAAATTTTATTTTTATTTAAGTTGTTGGCTTTAAAAATGGCTATTTAAATTTTTATAAAATTAAAAAATAAATTTATAAAATTTAAATAACTATTTAAACAACCTACTCAAAGCCGGTTTTTAAAACCACACTGGCATGGCAAGAAGCGCAGTCTTTACAAACTAGATGATTGTAGCCAAACGTAGTTACTGCTACAATAATCTAGTCTGTGATGGATTAGGTAATAACAATTGCTTCTGTAGCTGATACTTAGTTCTTGGGGTGAATTTATATTGTGAGGCCAATACGGTAACAGTCTCGGAGTCCCAAACAATTCTTAGAAAACTTAAGATCAATGTAAGTTGAACCTTGTGAATCTTGTTAAATATAATTCTGTATGGGAGTTTCATATCTTAAATTTGTCGATGCTTTGCTCTTTACATTCGACTTAAATTTGTCTAAATTAATATTTGGCTTGGTTAAATTTTCATTTATCAAAACCTTAATGTTTACATTTTAGAATAAAGTAGCTAGCTTCACTGACTCGTACAACATGTGAAGTAAGAAATTTGAATTTTAAAATAGTTAACGGAATAATGAGATTTAAACCGAAAGTATATTCTAAAAACGCAAGCACTTGTAATCATTAATACACTAAGACAGATTTTGATGAAAGTTGACTTGGATTGGATTTCAATCTGAGATTTCGACCGTATTACATCAATCGTTGTAATGCGGTCTCGGTTACAATTAACATCAGCAAAAAACTAAACATTCAGTTACAATAAATAGATTATAATATTCACTTACTGTTCCAATGTTATGAGATGTTAAAAAGCAAAATTAATAAAATTAAAACGCTTTGGCGATTCTTCAAATTGATCCATATAACACTGCCGATGATTTTGCTTCCTTCAATAAGGAATTAATTTTTAATTTTTAATCTTGAATAACTCACATTTAATTAATTTCAAAGTAATTTTACTTATAGAAATGATTTTTGTCACGTAAACATGATTTGCATTTCGTCTGCAATAAATCAACAGAAAATGACAATCTCAATTTTTTTTCAATTCGTAATTTAAAAACGATTAATTCGCTAGCATTTTAGTATAGAGTTTTTACTTTACTACCATATAAAGCAATAAAAAGTGTGGTAATAATACTTTTTACTGAAGATTTCTAAATATTTGTAAAGCCACACGGTTTTTTGATAAGATTATCAAGTGTTTAAATGTCAAAATGCCTATGTGTAAAGTGTAAAATGTAGCCTATGTATTAATCCAAGATGTCAGATACCTATTTTGTTGTAAATAATACTGAAGAAAGTTTATTATCTGAAATATCTCTCTTGTCTGATGGAGATGAATATGATGACTACTGGCACGATGCAATAAAAGATGAAATTAGAGCACACGTGAAAAACGGTACTTGGAAAATAGAAAAGAAAGATAAAAAAATGAAGGAAATAGATTATAAAATGGTATTACGTAATAAAGTAGGACCAGACAATAATATAAAGAAAAAGGCGAGACTCATAGCACGAGGTTTCTCCCAACGGTCAGACATCGATTATCATGAAACTTATGCTCCGGTCGCTAAGTTAAGCTCAATCAGATCTGTCATTGGAATAGCTATGGAAGAAAATCTAAAATTGAACCAAATAGACGTAACAACAGCGTACTTGAATGGTGAATTGGAAGAGCACATAGCTATGAAATATCCTGAATATTTAGAAGAGTATTTGACTGAAATATTAGTCGAAGAAAGCAGAAATGATGACCTGACTGTTTACAAAAAAACAAAAGAGATGTTAAGGGATATAAAACGTACTCCCAAAGACAAAGTATGTCGTTTAATAAAATCTCTGTACGGACTAAAGCAGTCTGGGAGGCAGTGGCATAAGAAACTTGACGTAGAATTAAAAAATATTGGTTTCATTCCCTCAGAGGCAGATCCATGTCTATATAGACTAGAGGTAAAAGGAGCCAAAATAATTATAGCCATCTACGTTGACGATTTTTTGATTGCCTACTCTAGCCCTACAGAACTTCAAAAAATAAAGACCCAGCTAAACTCTAAGTTCGAATTAAAAGATTTAGGCGAGCCGAAGCGATTACTGGGCATTGATGTTACTTACGGCCAAGATACAATTAAATTGTACCAAGAACGTATAATATTAGATACCCTCAAGATGTATGGAATGGAGGACTGTAAGCCAGTATCTACACCGATAGAACTAGGCATTACTTTACAGAAAAAAGAAATAAATCAAACAAAGAGCCTCCCGTACAAAAATTTAATTGGCACTCTTATGTATATAGCGGTCGCAACTCGACCAGACATAATGTTTGCTATAAGCTACCTTTCACGAAAAGCTACCTTTTACCAGTTCAACGATTACTGTGATGAAGAACATTTTAAATGTCTGAAAAGAGTACTACGTAAAAAGGTACACAGAGTGTTGGTCTGGTGTTCTACAAAACTGGAAAAGAATTATACGGCATGGCAGATGCAGATTGGGGATCAAATAAGATTGATCGAAAATCCTTTTCGGGATATTACTTTAAATTTGCAGGAACGGCCATAAGCTGGATGTCTAAAAAGCAAAGAAGCGTAGCCCTGTCGACCGCAGAGGCGGAATACGTTGCACTGACTGAAGCTGCAAAAGAAGTCATAAACCTAAAAGGTATTTTAAAAGGCGTAGGGATCAGTTATAAGACCATAGTCATATTGAACGAAAATCAAGCTGCCCTAAAACTTAGTCAGAATAATATGGTGACATCTAATTCCAAACATATTGACCTAAAAATGCATTTCATTAGAAATTGTATTCAAGAAGAAAAAATAAAGGTTAGATATCTTCCAACCGAGAAGATGGAGGCAGACATGCTAACCAAACCCCTCGCTGGCTACGAAGCAGTCTAGGGTTGGCTCCGTGAGCTGTGAAGAGGAGTGTGATAACGTAAGGAGTTGCACACCTCCGTAGCCACTATCTATGCCTGTCTACAAGCTATATTATATGTGTCATAAAGTAAAAACAACTGACTATAAAATTGTACATGTCATAGGTGTTAAAATAAAATATCCATATCAAATGTGTTTCGATATCATCGTTTATTGCGTTTTACTTGCACTGATCCCCCACATACCTCCATACCAAATTTAATCAAGTTTAATTTTCATTGTCAATTTACGAAAGAGTTGACAGCTGTAGCGGAACGAAAAGGATTTTGGGAAATTGACAGGTAGAATCAGCGAAAAAGACCTGAAAAAGCCGTAAAATTCCTATTGGAGCAAAAAAACGTCATTTTTTTCACAGTAAATGCTGAGGGTCCACCTATTCTGTGGGACACAGCGTACAACTCTCATCCACACAAGCTATCTATGTGGTTAAGATTGAGAGGACTGCCTGGTTACAAGCAAAACATAGTACCAAAAATAATGGTGATCACCGCGTCAGCGCCACGTCATATATGATCACAGTCTCATAGACTACTAAATACTCATGACCACAGATAGCGTAGTATAGTGTTGCACGTACGTCAATAGTTTTAAGCTTTTAAAAAATGTAATATTATTGTAGTTGTATTAAGTTAGTATTAAGTTAGTTATATTAAGTTGTATGCTGTGTTATCTTACATAATAAAGTTTATTTTATTATTATTATTTATTATTATTATTATTTTTTGATCTGTTTGGGTCTGACTTGGCCCTGACCCTGGAGAGAAAAATCAGACCAGACCAGATAGATAGACAATATCTGGATAATATTTTGTTATATTTTTTTAGTAGTTGAATCTTTAATTAGAAAAAATCTGCTCTAACAGGAATTTTACAAACCAAATAGCTAATTTTAATTTAATGCCAGTTTTGCAGCAGTAGATAATTATTAATTTTCTACTAACCTTCTTTTACTCGATATGATATTTTTTTAATGCGGTTTAACAAAGAGAGTTGGAAATTAGTATATTAAACACATAAATAAAATTGTTGTTAAATTACCTGTGATACAATATACTCGTAGTATGAGGAATGAGCATTCTGATTTAGATTTATTATTGATTTTGATTGCATGATTTGACCTGAATGAAATGGTACACTATAAGGTTTGGCCTTATCATCTATATTAATGAGTAAGGCCCGACTCAAAAAAGATAGGTGTTAAAAGTTTAATATAGTTGTCTGTTTACATGTGTGTCCGTCTATCAATGTGTCAATATATCAATCATAACTTCTACATATTTACAATTCACGTATCTATATCTATACATAGTGTTGAAATACAAACGCCTTTTCATTAATAAAAATATTTTGTATAATTTTCAGTCCACTGCTAGGCAAAGGCTTAATCAGGTTCTGTTCATTTGGCTGTGAAGTAGCAACATGAATTGATTAATAGCTTGCCTGTATTATTTTCGGACAAATTTGAGAAAACTACGTCTTAAAATTTTCAAAATGCAAATTCAAAATTTTTTTTTCGTTTAATTTCAATGCATTGAAATTATTGCTTAGTTTCAAAGCATTTGTTTGTGTTGTGTGTTTGTGATGATGGTACTTTTAAATAGTAGTTTTACAGCATGAAACTAAATATTATCTCTGTTAGAAAAATGTTGTTATGGCAAAATATTCTAGCATATATGACACAACATGACCTAGAAGTGAACTAAGAGCACTTATAACAATCTAATTATTGAAAAAAAGCAAACTAACCTGCCTGAGTGAAAATGTATAGGTACTCAAAATTTACAAACAGGTTTATTTTTTATAATTTTCATATACCCAATGTCATTGTCACAATTCAGACGAATCTAACGACACCTCAAAAGACAAAATCCATTAAGCCGTTTAGACCATAGAGCGTGCCAAAGAAATATACATATATTATACTCGAAAACATAACCGTGGTTCCAGCGCAGTCGGGTAAAAATATCTACACATTTTTTGACAAATACATATTAAATAATAAAACATGGATATAATATTATTGAATAATGCAAATATAGAATCCTTGCCTTTACGGAGGCCCTCTTATTCCATGAGCCCCGTCGTAGTCCACCCCCTGGCGCGTCAATCGTGGTCAAGTCGGTCCTCGTACCGGTTTTTGGCCTAGATGAAGTATCTGGGCCTGATCCCCGACCGGAGGTGGCTCTTCGACGAGAACTTCCGATAGCTTGCTCCAAAGCTGGTCGGCACTGCGTCTGCCCTTGGGCGACTTTTACCCAATTAGGGTGGACCCAGCGTCGCGAGAAGACTACTCTACACGGGGGATGTCCGGTCAATGGCACTGTACGGTGCACCGGTATAGGCGGCGGCTCTGACCGCCCAGAATAGGGCCTCTGGCGCCCTCAGAGGATATTGGCAGTTAAAGCCATACGCGGTTACCGCACCGTTTCGACGGAGGTGGCTTGAGACGACGAATGGTGAAGACGTCATCACGCAGAAGGAGGCGGCGGAGAGGGCCCGGGAGGATGACCTCCACTCGGATCTCGCGCGCCTCGACCAGCGTCTCATGCCGCCCTGAGTGTGGCTGCGTGTGGACGGGACGGGTTTTTCCCTTCACCCGCGACGAAGTGACGTCCGCGTGTGCCGGAAGTCACCTAAATAGAGAATGTACCCGAAGGTTGTGCCCGCACAATTGCGGGCAGGCGCTTAGGTCTTAATAACAGCAGTTCCCGGACCCTCCTATTACAGGCTCAGAGTGGCACACCGTATTGCTTATGTCGGTCCCATTCCGACACACCACCCCGCCGCAAACCCCGGTGACGGCCCGAGGGGGTTTCCACACGTGAAAAAAACAAAAAAGGATAGAATACGTAATACAAGAGGCGCATATTTTATCTGCATATTTTACAGTTTTAAAGTTAGTCCAAAAACATAGCTGGAATATTTATATTTTATTTTTTATGTCACCCCTCAGATTGTTCTATGTGTATGAAAATTAAAGTATCAAGGAGGTTTTATTCAAGGAAATTCAACTTAAAATATTTACCTCTATGTAATGTAATGTAGAAAATGTACCTCAATTAATAAATACGTCAAGTTTTGGTCATGTCAGGGCAGTATTGTACTAAACAAAATCTGATTTTCAACAACAGATTATGGTATTTGTCATAAATCGAATACATAATTAACATAAATTTAAGTAGTAATTGAAAAATTTATAGTGTACATCACAGTTCCAAAATCATGTGCGTACATAAGCTTTATCATAGAAGTTTATTCATTCTGATAATTATAGTGGAACAAACAATTATGAATTCTATCGAAGGCACTGTCTCTTATGAAAACAAAGATATTTACAAAATGAAATTGGATCCCACTCGCCATCAACTATCTGATTTTTTTGGTCTAGGACACAGATTTATACGTAGAACAGCATCATGCCTAAAAAACCGTACACATAGCACTTACGCTACAAAAGCACCCACTTTCAAAAAGTGGCAAGTGGGTAGAGTAAGTCGCAAACAATATGAAATCATAAATATGCTGTGGAGGAAAACTAGGGAACATAGAGATGTAGATATAAATACTAGTCATTTTTACTCAAGTGAATCTTTATTTAGGAAATCGACCCGTACGAAATCGTCGTCTACAACTTCAAGTTTTATCGAATTTTATTATTTAGACGAGGATAATAATCAAAAACATCCATTATATAAAGATGAAAGATCACAATCATCTGAAAAACTTGAAAAAATAAAAAGGGCTACATCTGATTACCCGAGTTTTGCATTTCGTATCAATGAGCCAAACCTATCCAATAAAAGAAAACCTACAAATGAAATACTAAAAAAAAATATCCAAACGCCAAGTTCATTATTACACGGTTTACCTAACTATGTAATTTTACAAATACCAAGTTATGGAACCCCATATAAAACAACACTTGCAAACAAAAGAAAAAACACAGTTGTTACTTATGAAACTTGTCCAACGACAACTTTAGTACCATTTGATCAGGAGCAGAGAAGCATAGAATCCAATACCATGAAGCCAAAATCAACCTCTACAAAGCCTGAGCCTACAACCATATATGATAGGATAAAATTCTTTGAAATATATGATAAAGGAACCCGTTTACCTTCTTACAACGAAGCAGAAAAACCAATTGATTTAAATGATGTCGAAAGATCTATTCATGGTAACAAATTACGAAAAGACTTAAGAATAATATTAGAAACTGCAAGTCAAAACAACACAAATAATAATTTACACAAGACCAAACATGCAAAGAAACATATAATTGAGTCTAATAGAAGAAATAACTTTAATTCAGATAATGACAATATAAATTCAATCAGTAGTTTCAATCTTACAAGTAAAAACAATAACCCGACTTCTAGGTCAGTGACAGAAGCTATTCCAACTTTAACACAAGTAACAAAATTTGTAATAAATAAAATAAGTATGGTGGCAAAGTGGTCAGATTATTCTTTTATGGCTGCTTATGTTTATGAACCTTCTCAGGTAAGTTTTTAATTCATAATAATTTGTTGTTTTAAAGCCAATAGTTTGAGAAGCACAAGAAAATAATCCACGTATCATTCGCTGCTATCCACTATTTACTAATACCTTGTAGGAGTATTCCTACTGTGTACTAGTATATATATTTCTCTATAGAAATATTGATAGATAATTGTACGTCGTTAATTTTTCTATAGGACAGGGAACAAATGAACGAATATGCACACTGATGGTAAGTGCCTACGGCCGCCCATGGATACCTGCATCTCAACAGAGACGCAAGTGCCTTGCCGGGGGGCGGAGAAGAATGTTGTAACCTCACTTAAATATATTCTTAAAAATAATCTGAAATTTTTATTATTTTTATTTATTATATTTATTTCAAAAGAGTTTTACCAATGTAGGTTTACTGCGATGCTGCCGGTATCAGTCCCCATTGGCTGGTAACGTCTGCGTCGTGTTTGTCCAGACGACACAATAACCCCCGAGGCGAAGGTCGTTCTGCTTTTGTTGCGTATTGTGGAAGTTCTTGGTGGAGTCCAGACCGGGTTGTTTATGTGAAGTATAGCGTAGTACATCCACGCTATCATCAACGAGATAAACAACGCATAAATATGTACAATATTGGTAAGTATCACACAAAATTTTATTTAACATAAGAATTATTATCCAATTTTATGTCAATAGGTTCAGTTAATTTTACATAACCCAAACTTTCCTCTAACTTTTTTCACTTAAAGTTGTATGGCATAGTTTTTATGTTTTACTTTTGGTTATATTTGTAAACATGTTTCCGTAGTGCTTTTTTTGCTAACTCTAGTTTTTTGAGCCAAACTAGTGACACTTTGTTACATTTAATACTTGCTGAGCGACAGATTCAAAAGTAATATGTAGGTATTTTTTATATTAAGGGTTTTTTTTTTTAATTACGTGTACCTTCCATTTTATTCTATTTAATCCTAAGAACTGTAATAATAAGTAATTTTATCGGATAACGATTAAACTTTGAACTAAAAGTGTAATTTGGGAATGGGGTGAGGAATTGTGATATTAATTTTATTAAGTAAATACTATACTACCTGTATATTTTTTTCACAGTTTACATTTTATATATCTGTGTTCTGTGACCAGTACACAATATGATAAAGGTTATTTTTTATTCTTTTTAAAAATTACTAAGCAAACAAAAGTTCTGAGGTAACTACTCCCAATGTTTACACTTTTTTATCATGTTGAAAAGGAGCATTTGACCATGACATAGGTCACTCCACTTTTCCATCCAGTTTTCTTATCTGTTTCTTATTCTTATATGTTATGTTTGTATGTTATAAAGTTATCGATGTTTTTCTTTAGGATTTAAAAACGATAGAAAAAAATTCATATTATCAGAGCCATAAAAAGGAAAAACAGTGGGCAACAAAGTTCTTACGTTGTACGCGATACAGCATTTACATTTAGAATTCAGTTTGCGGGTAGACTTTTCTTGCCCAAGTTGGCAACGGTTTTTAATTTAGTTTCTCAGAATTATACGCTTTCATCTTTTTATCCCCAAAGATGTAGAAGTATTTGACACACATTTTGCTGACTATAATTTTGGTTCCTTATACGTCTAAAATATACGAGTATCTATGACATATGTTTTATTTTTTCCTATGCTATTGTTTTGAGTGCTTGCAACTTTATTTAAGATTGTTTTGATATGGAACATTCTAAAAAAAATATTTTGATCTAAATTGAAAGTAGATGTCTTGTAAAGACGGTTACGCCAAAAATATATTATATTGAACACCGAAAATAAAATAGTTTTTATCTATTGACGGCTAAACAAAACAATCTTGTTTCTTTGCCTCGTTGGCCTTTCGTGATAATGGACTTGCCCTCGAAAAGATTCCCGTAAATGTACTCGTATTTTGGGGCAAGTATGCTTAATCCTTATCTTCCCATTCATAAGGAAAAGGATGTTTTTGCTAATATATCGTATTTTTCTTTCTATCAGAAAAGACTTATGGTATTTTATTAGAGCTTTGAGAAAAAAAAATCTTTACCCCTTCCCTTCCCCTTCCCCTGTTTTACTTGCATACTTTAGTTTCATTTTAATATTACATTATTTTTTAATAATAAATGTTATCATTAGGAATAAGCAGGTAAAAAGCATTTGCTTTTGAACTTTCACTTTCTATGAAATACGTGTGTGTCTGGAAATTAAATCGATAACGTCGTAGGCGTTAAGTGTATGAACTGGTCGAAAGTATATCATACCTATTACGTATTCTCTTTAACTTCTTTACATGAATAATTATACAAATACAAAGTGGATTTTGATTTTCAGTAACCGCACGACTAATCAAAATTATATACCTGCCTAATTTATTCAAAGTAACATCAAGTGCAAATTAACATCGCTGTAATATATTGAAGTGGTTTTCTCACCAACTTCATCTTGAATTTTCACATATGTTCTGAGTCTACATAAGCTCATATATCAAAGTATACTAGCCGTGTAAGTACGCTTATATAGGATAGGGGAGGCTCCACACGATATTCTATATAAAAGACAGAAGGAGTACAAACAAGAGACACACAATATACACAACGCGATGCAGAAGAAACTGTCCGTACACAAGACGTTATACTATTTATAGATTACGGTTTGAATTTAATTAATTAAAACAAAGATGGAATGTCAACAATAACACGTGAACGCGCAGGGTGTAAGGGGGCCAAGGACCAACTTACTCAACGTATGAAAGTTCTGGAGCGACCCACATCACTCGACACTATAATGTAAATATTATAAGTGCCATGAACGACTTGAGTAGTGTTAAGATAAATGTGATAAATGACTGTGAAGCCTGAGGTCGTGTGTTCGATTCCCACTCAGGACGAATACGAGTATTGTGCGAAATTATTTTTATGATGGTGTAGTTGCGTTTACGCTTATGTTGTTTTGTGTGTGTCCATCATAAACGTTACGCGGTAGAGGTGAGCCCTACAGAACCAACATGGTTCTCGCATTACTTCTTGATAATATATGTTTTGTTTTATAGGACTAATTCAAGTGGAGATTTCAATGGCGACTTGCCCTGGTTGGGTTTCTGTTCCTCTGATGTCTCACCACTTTGTGGCTCATTCAGAGGGATCGAAAGGTTATGCAGTTGGATGGGGTCTGGACAGGTAACATAAATTAAAACCATTAAAATTTATCGTATTCTTATAATGTTTTAGTCATTTCTGGCATGTTATTAGCAAAACAGGCGAGATGCAATGAATGCTTGCATCTCGCCTGTGCTGCTCAGGTAAAATGAAAAAAATGGGACTGTCTCTTAATCTATATATACGTGAGAAGAAATCTTCATACGCATCACATATTTAACGAACATACATTACAAATATGATATTTGGAAGATTTAGTTGGTATCTATCCAACATAGCCTATGTTGGATAGATACCAAGTTAAAGTTAAAAAATATGTAAAACGTTATATTAGGTTCTAGTTTATGTTTTGAACTGTTACGGTACATCATACGTATGAATAATTTAAGTTATACTGGCCAATGAAAAATTTATTATTTTATGGAACAATAAAATTAAGGTGAAATTACCTATTAGTTTTTGTCTTCAAATCTTTCAACAGTTTCATAAAAACATGTTTTATATTTAAATGCACGAAAACGAATGAAATTTTAGACATTTGCTATATTCTTTTACAGATATGATATACGAGATACAGCAAGTGATTTGCCAAAATATCCACTAATGGCATATGAAGGTAGAGTATTTTCAAATTCATGTCCAGGAATATTTAATCACACGTAAGTACTTTTACAGGTTTTGTTTTCCATTAATTGCACATTTAATTTATTTCCAATCCTATTGAATATTAGTTTCTCAACTTTTTAATTTGCCATTTTACGCTTGTGGTGTAAAAGATTTCTTATATAGTTGTTAATAACCATCTTTCAATATTTGCAGTAAATTCAAATATCGTTATAGTGAAGACAGTAAAAAAAATCTATATTGTTTGCTTTTGCCGCCATATTCTGGTGAAGAAACCGACCCGATACATGGCAGTATGCTTCTTATTGAAGGAAAGCTGTGCGCCATATACTTACAGGTCATTTTAATTAATCATTTTTATTAATCGTCAATTTAATCAACCTTCTCGATTATCTAACCTAACCTGGTTCAACTGCATGTTTTTTTAAATAGATAAAAAAATAAGCGTATACCAATAATTATTATATTACATTTCATTATTATGAATATTCATCTATGATCATTAGAAACAACGACGTATGCCTTTTTTCAAAGTTACAAAGTCATAAAAGGTTATCGAATCTTTATATATTCACACTGAACTAAATAACTCGATATTACATACGTTATTGAAATACACAGTGATAAATTAAATGCATTCAATACGAATATTTAGGGCGCGTTCCCCTTTTCTTTTTGCGTATTGCATTTTGCTGAAAAAATTGTATATGGCGGCGAGTATTCGTCGTCAGTGTAATGTCTAGCGTTAGATATAGATAATTTTATTATGTATTGTAGTTTCCTTTATTGTACTATATCAGATATAGTACAATAAAGGAAAAAAGAAGGATTACTAAAACTATACGAACTATACTCTTTTAAAAGCAGTGAAAAGGTACAATATATATCCAACTAAAATATTTTTAACAATACTATGAGTTTTCAGTGTTCTAGATTACTTTCTAAACTTTTATTATTGTTTTGTCTTAAAAATTTATCTTTGATGTAAAAACATTTGAAAGCGTTAAAATCCGGGCCCAAACCGAGTCTATTTTTGAGTCGATTTTTGTCTATTTGTAATATATGATAATATAATATCGATATAGTTATACATATTACTCTTTACTTTAATAGACGAAATAGGATCCTAACCTACTGAACATAAGTCGCCCTAACGCCGGTCAATAATCGAAATGAATAATAAATAATCTTTCAAAAAAAGTTTGTTCGTAGATCAATTCCTAACCAGGACAAATAATTGTAAAATATACAGTCATTTTTCCTGGAACTATTTGTAATTTGTGAAAATATGAGTATGGTTATCATCACAGAGTGCTGGTCATGCTCTTAACATTGGAGACAGGCTTTCGTGCGAGAGGGCTCTCAAGTTATTGCAATCAGCTACTCTCGAAAAGCCGTCCTTAACTGTTTAATCGAATCAGTCTTTGCATTGGCAGAATTTTATTAAATTTGCATTTTTATTGCTTACCTTTCATTTTATTTCATTACTGGAAAATAAAGAAAGTCAAGAACTCCTTCCCTTTTCAAGGGAGTTTTGTTCAAGTTCAAACTCTCTTGGAAAAACGATGTAAAATAATATTAGAGGGGTTTTGGAAATAACTTGGTTTGTGCAAATATTGCAATGGAGTGCTTTGTACTGAAACTGGAATCGGATAAAATATTACCTATTTAGCATTACTATTGAAGAGATTTTTACAATTCCAACCATTACTACTGCCTGCCAATAAAATAATGTAACATTTTTTGTTCCAAATAAAATCTGATGTCATGGAACAGATTTAAATGTCACCCGATAAAAAAGAGAATAGCTTGCCTACATTTGATGGAAATAACCTCAACTAACTATGAAAAACGTGTCAGGCGCTCAAATTAAAGAGTTAAAACGGACTGAACTTAAATTAAAGAATGTCTAAGGGCTCCAAGTTTTCATTTCTTTGATGCAAAACTTTCTCGTAAATAGTAGGTTTTGAATTCATACTAAATATGAAGATATGCTTATATTCATATATAGGCATATCTTCATATTTATATGCTTATATGATATGAGAATATTTTGGAAGATATTAAAACTTTAAAATATTTGTCGTCAATAAACTAAAATGAACTCCATACTTCATCACAAAGTCTTCAACCCATAGAAGGGAATATTTTAGTGCAACCTTTTTTAATTAAAAGAGAACAATTGGTTCATATATTATGGCGGAGATATCGCGTAATATAAAGCCAAAAAAGAAATAATAGTCAACCAAATCGAAAATGTCGATTGCCACTTTTTAAGCCAATCTCTATTATTATTATTGGCCATTCTCTATTTTGTAAAATTAACATGATGTCAATGATTTTGATAACATCGTACACGTAATAAAACCTCACCTTAGTTTTAAATTTAGTCAAGACTTAAAAGGATGCCAAGAGACTTTCTTTCTCGGTCGGTACATAATCTGATGCAAATGGCAATATTGAAGAAAACATTTGGAATAAAATATTCTAAATTTTACAACCTATAAGAATTTGACCATCAATATCACTAAGTCATTTGTACATCACCTAAAAACCCGAAAGCTTTGACAAAATTGATGATAGTAATGATAACTCCAATTATCATTATTATCACCAAGTTTCAGTGTTCATTTATATTTAACTAGCTTTTGCCCGCGGCTCCGCCCGCGTGTATATCGGTTATTGCAGTAAAAAAGTAGCCTTATGTTACTCGCTGATAATGTAGCTTTCCATTTGTAAAAGAATTTTTAAAATCGGTTTAGTGGTTTAGGCGTGAAAGCGTAACAAACAATTAAACAAACTCACTTTCACATTAAAATATAAGTATGAGTAATTGTTCTAGAATATCAAATAAAAATAAACCAGTATTGTTACTACTTTGAATCAACAACCGAACCGTTAACAAATATCAGACTAGCAAGTCAGTGTCTACAGAACATGTACTCCAATCGAGAAACTATCACTGTAGTCAATTAGCAATTTATCTCCATCACACGTTACTTTTATTCAAGTTTCAGTTAGAAGCTTTTTTTTTAGATTAATAATAAGACTTTCAATCCAGAAGATGAGTTTAAAGTATCTACAGCATGGAATCTAGTAATTTGATAGGAATTAGAATTATTTAAATCAATGCGTGTCAGCTGCAATTACGGATGCGGTTGGGAACGTCTATAACTTGTCTACTTGGTAAAATCCAGTGAGTGAGTTGCGTATGCTACCCTTTCTTGTGTGTACTACGTATGTGAGTGAGTGTGTGCGCAAACACACACACACACACACACACACTCACAAAGAATATTACTAACTGTAGATTCAGTAACTGATTATGTACTCAGAATTATTTAAAAACAATTATCAATGTCATTCTTACTGCAGCCTTTCGCTATAAACTACGTTATAAAGGGGTGAAGACCTGGTATTCTGAAATACAGGCCCCGAGCCTAGCTTAGCTATCAGTCTTCCCACAATTACACAAAAGTTATTAAATTATATTACGTTTGTAGATTTGCAATCTAGATGTAAAATTCTCCGAAGCTAACTTATTTTTTGTTGCCAAATAGCCTTTATTCAATGTGGTGTCAATCATACACATATTTTATTCTCTTTATTTATTATTAGGCACTTTATACAATTTTACAAATCATACATATTAAGGTCACAAATAAAAATGTAGATAAAAAAATTGAATAAATACTGGTACAGTCTCTGAAAATTATTCCATAGGTCAATTATTACTAATTACTAAGATAACAAAAACGTACTTGACATTATTTTTTTGTTGGAAATATAAATTCTTCCTTCTGATTCCTTGGCTTTTAGCTCTACAGATGAAAAAATCGGGATATTTTTTAATCAAACATTTCTTCTAATGTATATCTAATCACATACTTGTTGTGATGAAGACTGAACAATAATTTATGAGTTTTGAACAAGAATTGTAAAAATCTCTTCAGTAATAATGCTAAATAGGTACTATTTTATCCGAGTCCAGTTTTAGTACAAAGCACTCCATTGCAATATTTGCACAAACCAAGTTATTTCCAAAACCCCTCTAATTCAGAATCAGATAAACATATTGATGGCCTATCTGGCCGTCTGATAAACTTAAAACATTCAAACTTTAGTAATAATGATAAAATATAAGTATGAATAATTGTTCTAGAATATCAAATAAAAATAAACCAGTATTGTTACTACTTTGAATCAACAACCGAACCGTTAACAAATATCAGACTAGCAAGTCAGTGTCTACAGAACATGTACTCCAATCGAGAAACTATCACTGTAGTCAATTAGCAATTTATCTCCATCACACGTTACTTTTATTCAAGTTTCAGTTAGAAGCTTTTTTTTTAGATTAATAATAAGACTTTTAATCCAGAAGATGAGTTTAAAGTATCTACAGCATGGAATCTAGTAATTTGATAGGAATTAGAATTATTTAAATCAATGCGTGTCAGCTGCAATTACGGATGCGGTTGGGAACGTCTATAACTTGTCTACTTGGTAAAATCCAGTGAGTGAGTTGCGTATGCTACCCTTTCTTGTGTGTACTACGTATGTGAGTGAGTGTGTGCGCAAACACACACACACACACACACACACTCACAAAGAATATTACTAACTGTAGATTCAGTAACTGATTATGTACTCAGAATTATTTAAAAACAATTATCAATGTCATTCTTACTGCAGCCTTTCGCTATAAACTACGTTATAAAGGGGTGAAGACCTGGTATTCTGAAATACAGGCCCCGAGCCTAGCTTAGCTATCAGTCTTCCCACAATTACACAAAAGTTATTAAATTATATTACGTTTGTAGATTTGCAATCTAGATGTAAAATTCTCCGAAGCTAACTTATTTTTTGTTGCCAAATAGCCTTTATTCAATGTGGTGTCAATCATACACATATTTTATTCTCTTTATTTATTATTAGGCACTTTATACAATTTTACAAATCATACATATTAAGGTCACAAATAAAAATGTAGATAAAAAAATTGAATAAATACTGGTACAGTCTCTGAAAATTATTCCATAGGTCAATTATTACTAATTACTAAGATAACAAAAACGTACTTGACATTATTTTTTTGTTGGAAATATAAATTCTTCCTTCTGATTCCTTGGCTTTTAGCTCTACAGATGAAAAAATCGGGATATTTTTTAATCAAACATTTCTTCTAATGTATATCTAATCACATACTTGTTGTGATGAAGACTGAACAATAATTTATGAGTTTTGAACAAGAATTGTAAAAATCTCTTCAGTAATAATGCTAAATAGGTACTATTTTATCCGAGTCCAGTTTTAGTACAAAGCACTCCATTGCAATATTTGGACAAACCAAGTTATTTCCAAAACCCCTCTAATTCAGAATCAGATAAACATATTGATGGCCTATCTGGCCGTCTGATAAACTTAAAACATTTAAACTTTAGTAATAATGATACAGTCAGGAAAAGAGAAGTGTACTGCCACCTACCTGGCTCTTTGGAATTTTAAGGGAATTTGAAAAACATTAAAGTGAAAGGAAAAATGTAAGCAGAAATGGCAATGCCATGCCAAAGGAACCTTCTTTATAGGGATGGATATGTTAAAACTCCGTACTGACTCAACAAGGTATAAAAATAATCAGGAGAAAGATAACTTTAATAGGCATAGCACAAACTAAAGAAATGTCAGGTCCAAACTACCTTTTCTTTTATGTAAACCTGTATGTATCTTTGTGGACTAGTAAAGACTGTTGATGATGTATGTATTTTGAGAATCGCTGTGAATTAATTCTTTTTGTACCTTTTTAGGAAGAGCGTCGACGTTCTGGTAACCAGTCTGCACAGTATACAGGCATTTGGGGGCTAGGCCCATGGGTGACTGACATGGCTCGTGAACCTGAAGATGCTGAGACCTTTAGCTTGAAGAAATAACCTCAAGTACTATGGCTTTTTTATGTTTTAGATACGTGGTGTGTTTATTTTGTCTTTTGTCTCATTGTTTTATTTTGCAATAAAATAAATTTAACAGATCGCTGAAACTAGTTTTTAATATGATAAGTGATGAAATTTCCCTCATTACTAACATGTTTGTCATATACAGAGTAACAATAGTAGCTATATAACCTTAGTGACTCAGAATCGAGAACGTAATCATTTATCTTGTGGGCTCATAAATCACTCTTTTGTGTGTAATTCATCGCTCATTGAGCAAATGGGACTAGAGGCAGATTTTACCAAGTAGACAAGTTATAGACGTTCGCATCCGCATCCGCAATTGCAGCTGACGCGCCTTGATTTAAATAATATGATTTTAGCTGCGAATGTGAATGTAAGACAATTGAGACGGCGCCAACGAGTAACTTTGTTTTGTTTTACATATTCATTTCAGAATTAACAATGAATATATTAAACAAAACAAAGTACGTATGTACGAGTATGTACGCTTAATATATGCTTATCAGTGCTGGGCAGATTTTTTTAACACAATTCCGGACCTAGGAACATATACTGTGTCGCGGGGGGCTTCACAATATCGATCGGGGATCGAACCCAAAACACTCAGCGTAGTAGGAAGCGGCGAGGTTACCGCTTAAGCCACTATGCCATCTGTAGTGCAGTCGCATTTTATACACAGTTACTAATTCCGGACATCAAAATTGTAAAAGGACCTATATTATATCCATATATGCAAAGTTATGTCACAATAAAAGTGTCAAGCAATAAAAGACGTATAGTTTTATGTTTTAGACGTGTTTGTTTTTTTATATCACAAAATTTTCGTTAAAAAACTTCCTCTTTTATCTTTCTTAATATTTTTACATTAACAAAGATAAAAGGGGAAGTCATGTCTTGGTATATATCAACCGTCAGACAAAGATGTTATTCTTGTAGACTGTCGTTATAAACACTCTTATACGAAGCTGAGATCTGGACGACGAATGCCAAATTACAGCATCACCTAAAATCATGTTTTCATGGCAAGACAGCGCGATAAAGAAGTGAGTTCTATAAATAGCGCGGCTGCCTTGCTTAATTATTCTTCTTAAATAGGATACTTACAAAGTCTACGGTTTCTTCTTGAATTCCACGAAGTGTTGTTCTGGATGCAGCAATAAACGAAAAGAAGACCCCTCTGTACACCAAGAACAACATGGTTGCTTTCAGAATCGACCAAAGAAAATGAAAAATGTTTTGTGTTTGTTTAAGTTCTACTATCTTGTGTAACGGTGCCTCGAGCAGTACGAGTAAACGAGCAGACGGTAAATGACCACCGCCGCCCATGAAAACCTGCAACTCAAAGTGTCACAAGTGCATTGTCGCCCTTTGTTGAGTAGGGAGAACCCCACACTCAACAGTTATGGGAAGGTAGGGTTTAGACTTCGATAACCTCACTCACTCGGTGAAAAGCGACGAAAAACTTGTTTAACTCAAGTTTCCTGTGAGATCGTTGTATCTCTCCAGTCGAGCTGGCTCCCCACACTGCTCCTTGCTGGCAGAGTGTTTATTCTCACGCCTTGAAATCTAAGTGGTTTTTATTTTGTATTTTTATAGTAGTACAGAGTTTCTCAAGAAAGAAGTTCACATTTCTCTACGTTCTTGACAACGTTTATGCTTTTCCTAGAACTTCACCTGGACTCGCAATCGTCTATAAGGTACAATAAGCGCTTGGGGTTAAGTGGGTCACACAGATATTTGTCGACAACATCCTTTAAAACCATTATAAGTCTAGTTCAGTAACATCATAAATGTCTTCTTTTACTTACTGAGTTATTTGGGATACTTTTGACGATTCCAGCAATGACACAAAAAAAGAATAAAGCTGTCAAATTTGTGAAAGCATTATTTACCGAAAGCATGTAGTAAAATCGATCTAAGTGGCGTGCAATGGGAGAGGCCTATGTCCAGCAGTGGACTGCGATAGGCTGATGATGATTATGATGATGTAGTAAAAACCTATTCCAGCTTGGAAAAGCCACATCATCCATCATTTAAATTGTTTACATAAGTTAGCTATATAACAATTACTGTTACTGTACTGTTGATACTATTTTGATCTTACGGAGCACAAAATATATAATCGTATGAAAAATGTAACACAGTTTTATTATCTTCTAATGCAGTTTTATATTTGATCAGGTAAAAATATAATGAAGTGAAATACATGCTCAGTCGTATTCTATTAAAATATATTTTGATATTTTAGTTTTTAGTAAAAAAAAAAGCAATCCAGTCATTTTTAAATATATTTTGGAGCTCTGAAAGAAATAGAAGGTACTGACTGCAAAACTACCATTGTCATTAAATGCAACATCAATAGATAAAAAGAAAATCTAAATATTTTATGATGTTTCCTATGAACACACACAACTTTATTATGAAAATGTTGACCGGTATTAAAAAAAAAAGAGTTACAATTGTGTCATAATACACTTTTATTGAGTTACTCATAATTAGACTTAACATAGTTAATTTCTTCATGACTTTATTTAAATTCAATAAATTAGAATCGTTAATATAACAAGAGAGTCTTTAAACTTTGATTTGAAACAGTGATATTCCAAAAATTTATGTTTACACATATGTATTCTGTTTAAATTGGGTTAATCCACATACACCCGCCCACTTTTGCATGCTAACAATCTACTCAACCTTTTGCGGTTTTAATCAAAATACTTGTTGTTCATGACGTCACGCATCCAGGTTACGTAGCCCGCAGTACGTGTGTAAATGCCATACTTGCCACGTTTCCCACAGCCATCTCCAAAGCTGGTGATTCCCTGTAACAGAATATTTTAAATCATAATTTATTATTTATGAATTACTTGTAATCTAATTTTAACCATACTTTGTAACACAAGTTGTATCATTCATTACTAAGGGATAGTAATTAGTTAGGTCATTTTAAGATTTAATAAAGTAGAGTCAAAGCATGATTGCAAAAAAAATACAATACGAGACTAGTAATATGGGAGATTAAAGAAAGATATTACAAAATAGTTCAAACGTAGAAATATGAAACCAATGAAAAATCTTTGTTTCCCGAGTACTTTTAAACCAGCTGTATAGACGCGTATCATATTTAACAGTCTCTGAAGTGAACAACAGGAGCAAAATATTTAAAGTAACGTATTTCATGTCACCCTTATTTTACTCGTTACTTTTACAACACCGTCTCTTTTCATTTAAGGTACGTAAAAAACCTTTTTTAAAGTCCCACTGCCATTTCATATCGTGACTTTTATTAAAATAAAGTATAAAACACCCAAATTTTAAAATAACTGATGCAACCTAGAACATGACATGTTAGGATCGTAACAGGGATATTATTCCTCTTCCCAGGCTAATATGTTTATTTAACGTTATGGAATTTTATTATTTTCTTAAAATTATGCAACAATAGCGATCCGCCCCGGCTTCGCATGGGTGCAAAATTCAATAAGATGCTGATGTGGTGTCAGTATGGAGTAATTAATTATACTATTATTATGATAAGACTATACAACAGGATATCTTTATATTCAATATTTGTACGCCCGTTCCCCTGCCGGCCGCTACCACCTGGAACGGACGTACGACCCTACGCGGTGACGGCCGCTTTGCGCCCGCATTTAAATCTCTGATATCTACTTAGATATACATTTTAAGGATATGCTGTAAAAGTAAATTTTAATCTTCATAAAATGCACTGTATTTATTTGGATAGGGAATACTGTATTGTTCAGAAAAGGGTCGTAAATTGTATATTATTTTTTGTAATATGTAAAAGATAAAAATGGTTACTGTCGAAACATTCTCCTGTTCTCTGTATGTATTAGGTTATCATTCCGGGTAGGCTAAAATTATTCCACATAATATAAGAGTAACTTCACAAAACAAAAGCTAAAAGTTATTTACAAATATTTTTCACTTCAGAAGATCTTTGATTCGCAAACGTCCTGGTATATTTTATAAATGTATTGTACCGTGCAAGTAAAAGCTAACCGAGGGAAAAGGACAGTCTTTGAATACTGGTTTATCTGGTATAAAAAACATAGTGTTTTCATTTTTACTTTATGGATGTAGCTGGTTATCGCCTAACACAAGAGACAACACTCAATGAAGAGGAATGACATATGAAGTAGATAATATACAGACGACACAAGCTCACATATTACAAGTTAGATAACTATGATAACATTTAGCTATAGTTGATATTGCTCTTTTTATAAACATTATTTTATCACACATTTAACAAAAATAGGTAGAGATTTAAAAAAAAAAGTGTGACTGCAATCGGGCGGCGGAGGAGGAAACTTTTACAAATCAGACATTTTTCATTATTAATTAGGTCACACTGAATCTAGGAAACAGCTGATTTCCATCTACTTTTTAAAACAATTGAGTATATGGTAGTTGGTCTGTGTAGTGACGGATTAAGAATAAAGAGTGTCACAGCCCCTATTCATGCCGTGGGTGTCGTAGAAGCCGACTAAGGGAGAAAACTACGCAGAACAACAGCACTGAAGAGAGAAGGAAAACTTGACATAAACCCTTTTTTTTTTTTTTTTTTTTTTTAACGTGTGGAAATCCCTTCGGACCGTCACCCCTCCGGGGTTTGCGGCGGGGTGGTGTGTCGGACTCGGACCGACTAAAACCACACGGTGTGCCACTCTGCGCCTGTAACAGGAGGGATCCGGGAACAGCTGTTGTTAAGACATCCGGACCCCTCCTAGCGCCAGCCCGCTCCTGGTGCGGGCTCCGTCTCAATGTGGATGTTCCTCTCTTTAGGCGACGTCCGGCACACGCGGACGCCGCCCCCTCGCGGCTGGCCAACTAATGCGGGTGGAGGGGAAACCCACCCCATCCACCCGCGGCCACACTCAGGGCGGCATGAGGCTGTGATAGGCGGGCCTCCGCCGCCCGGTTCGCCGGCGGCGGATCGGGTCCGAGTGGAGGTCGTCCTCCCGGGCCCTCTCCGCCGCCTCCTTCCGCGAGATTACTACCTCGCAGAAGGTTGCGACCGCGGTAAAACAACTGTCGCTACCGGCCATGGAGCGTACTACGGCCGGTAGCGAGAGATCCACTCCGATGACTGCAGTGAGGGCCCGGCGCTGCGCCGCCCATGCGGGGCAGACCGCCAGCGTGTGCTGGGCCGAGTCCTCACTGCAGTCGCAGTGGTGGCAGGCGGGACTCAGTTCCCTCCTAGCGACCGTGTGCAGGTACTTTCCGAAGCAACCGTGCCCGGAAAGCACCTGCGTCAGCCGGAAGGAAAGGGTCCCGTGCTGCCGCCCTGCCCACTCGGCGATGACCGGCTGGAGAGCCTCCACGGCGGCGAAGCCAGCGCGTGGAGTCTCCAGCCGGAACGACCAACGAGCCATCGTGGCTCGGCGAGCGGCTTCGCGCCACTCGCGCACATCCTCGGGCGGAGGGCGAAATCCGCTCTCCGCCCGGGAGTCAGCCACTCGCCGATAAACCTCGGCGAGCACTTCCGCCTCCAAATCCCACGGGGGAGTTCCGGCCAACGCGCACGCCACCTCCGTAGAAACGGTGCGGTAACCGCGTATGGCTCTGACCGCCATTACCCTCTGAGGGCGCCAGAGGCGTACCCTATTCTGGGCGGTCAGAGCCGCCGCCCACACCGGTGCACCGTACAGTGCCATTGACCGGACAACCCCCGTGTACAGCCGTCTTGTCGCGACGCTGGGTCCACCCATATTGGGCAAGAGTCGCCCTAGGGCAGACACAGCGCCGACCAGCTTTGGAGCAAGCTGTCGGAAGTGCTCGTCGAAGAGCCACCTCCCGTCGAGGATCAGGCCCAGATATTTCATCTGGGCCCGAACCGGTACGAGGACCGAGTTGACCACGATTGAGGCGCCAGGGGGTGGACCACGACGGGGCCCATGGAATAACAGGGCCTCCGTCTTATCCAGGGCCACCCGTAAGCCCAGCGCCTCAATGCGCCCGACCACCAGGGAGACTCCCCCTGTGGCCAGGCGCGCCGCCTCTTGGAAGTTTGCCCCCCGGGCTGTCACGAGGGTATCGTCTGCGTAACAGATTACACCCAGCCCGGGGGGGAAATCGGCGCGAAGGGCCCAGTCGTACCCTATGTTCCACAAGAGGGGTCCAAGAACAGACCCCTGTGGAACACCGCACGACATGGGCCGACACCTCAGATTACCTTCTCGGTCCTCGTACACGACGGTACGCTCCTCTAAATAGTCTGCCACTAGCCGCCTCAGGTACTTTGGCACCCCATGATAGTGGAGTGCTTCCCTGATGCAGCTGAATGGCAGACTATTGAATGCGTTGGCGATGTCCAATGACACCGCCAACAGCACGCCGCCACAGCTCACGGCCTCTTCGGTCACGGCCCTCAGGCGCAACACGGCGTCGACTGTCGAACGCCCCGCCCGAAAACCAAATTGGGCGTCCGACAGATCGGGGCCCACCTCGCAGAGGTGCCGGACGATGCGGGCAGAAAGAACCCTCTCAAACAATTTGCCCGCCTCGTCCAGCAGCACGATGGGCCTATAGGCCGCGACCGAATCGGCAGAAACCCTATACCAACCCGTCTGGCCTGCGTGATATAGTAGGCCAAAACCTCATTTCTAAGGAGAGGCCTATGTCCAGCAGTGGACTATTAAAGGCTGTTGATGTGATATGGTAGTTGCACATTGTTTATAATTTGTCAAGATGTAATAATTATGGTTGAACTTTATCAATGGCCCCGCCAAAGCCAATACATGATAGACGCTTCTCAGACACACTCACCAGAAATTTCTTTCGTTTATCCTTATGATCACTTCCAGAAAAAAAACGGATAAGTATATCCAACTTTATGCCGATGACTTGCAGCTCTATTATCAAGCCTCGATAAACACCATAAACGAGGCCATTTATATGGTTAACAATAACTTGGAGGTGATTAACGGTTGGGGTGATAGGTTTGGTTACGGCACCTTTAGATGTAAATTTAAAAATATCCCCCCACCTGTCCCACTCAAACGCCATATACAATAGATAAGTATTTTATTGTAAATTTCAATCAGTTGTCGTAGGCTTTTGAAACCGCAATTGGTAGCTGACCTTCAGGTACATCGTGTTTGATCTCCACCACAACAATATACGTACGTGAAAGTCTTAGGCTGGATCGATGATCACGTCGAAATCTAATTCTCCGAACCAAAAATACACAGGGCTGCGACACGAAGTTTCATCACAAAATGACATTACAATTCGCTGTCAACTTCCCGAAAATCGTTAAAATTGTTGTGCGAAAATTTTCAGAAGTTAAATTCATTGTATAATATTTTTGTATGATGCAAAATTGCGATATTGACATTTTTTTTGATAAATTTCTCAATTTTCGTGATTGTTTAGCAAGACATTGAAGACTTACTAAGACATTGAAGTCGAGGCTCGGGCTAGCAACATCTGCAGACCCGTCAACGTTGTACAGGGGCTCGAATAACTTTGGAATGAAAATAGAAAAATCTTCGGAACTCTACAAAAATCTAAGAGTTAACAAAATGCATGTCTTGTCAAAATTCATCAGAGCTCGAGCCATGGCTCCAATTCCACAAAAAATTCATGGTGGGTATTCAGTCCAGTAGAGTTGGATTGGGAAATGCTAGAAGACAGACCGACAAAGAGATAACAAAATCTTTCCTACAACAACAAGATGAAAACGAGACTTACAAAGTGCATGCAATGAACCTAGGAACACATAAGAATGAATAGAATGAATAGTAAACTCTAGAAGAATTTTGTATCTTACCAGCTTTGAAATGGCGCAAACTTTTATACGATTGGTCACCTGCCCTGTTCAAATTTTCAAGCAACCTAGTAAGGTGGAAAAAGCTACAGAAAAGGCTTGTATGATGTGCAGCGCGGAAATAAGTACAGCCAGGCACTTACTGAGGGTTGTGAGGCGCTATTAGACCGGGGTCATTATTCACGTTGCCCTGATAGAGTATTACAAATCATACGCGAAGCTTTAAGTTTATTGCTGGCGGGATCGAAAAAAGGAATAACAACAAACATAAGAAGTAACGTCGCGTTTGTAAAGGAAGGCTGAACAAAAAAGACCTCAAAAAAGCCGTGCTCAATTATAAGTACCGCCAGTGACTGGACATTATGTGCCGGGTGCGAGGGGTATACCAGCTAAATCCTTCTATAACCTTCTTAAAGACCTTGAATTGCCAAGAGCTTCAGTTCTTTTCTTGAACGAATATCCAAAGCGGCATTGCTAAGCTCGTATCAAATATAGTTAGGTGGAGGGGATAACACAGCAGACAGTGGAGGTGAGCGCTGACGCGTCGCAAGTCCCAGGCGCTTTCGTAGTCGCATTTGTTGCCCCCATCTATCACGCGATGGACCCGGCACCCGCTTCTAACTAGTTTCTAGTTTAGTCTTAACGTTATTTCAAGTGAATAGTTCTAGTAACTATCAGCAAATAGTCTTAACATGGAGTGTTGTTGTTTCTTATAGTGAAATACTATCTTTACAACGGGTGTTATTTCTTTCCGAACAGTTTAGTACTGGAATGAATTATGTGAGACGAATGTGACTGAATCTAGAAACGCCTGGGGATTCTAAATAGAATGATTTGTTAATAAATTCTAGTAAAAAAATACTAGTAAAAAAAGGGTCTAGTATTATAACCATACATATGTTGTGTATGACATGTATGGTTATAATGTTTTATAGTATATATATGTATATATATGTAAAGGTATGTAATAAGGATATAAGGATGTCAATGTCATGTTCTTGACGTTGAATAATTGTGTAGTATTATTTTCGATTTCCAGATATTTTAATAGTTATTTGGTTTTCCTTTTAAGACATCCTTAGTATCGTGAAGAATTAAAATATCTGACGGTAATAGCCTCCACCCTTTTAAATTTCATTTAAAAGATAACTGGCAAAATTAATTAATGCGTTTGTAATATATCGATCCGCCTGCAGCTGTATTAGATGGTTCAAATACGTAGGCATATTCTTTAGAAGCTACATAATCTTCTATGTTAATATAATATTAATAACGAAAATTTTGTTTAGTTTAGTTGAACGCATTAATCTTTGGAATAATACGGTTTTAATTACCTACCTTATTATACCTACATTTGATGAACAAGTCCTTGAGTACGATTATATACTATTGAACATCACTTTTAGGAGCAGAGTTTGTCCTGTGTAACTGGGGAGAATGCTTAATAAATTGTATAGTCATTTAGTTTATTTCTTTTTTCGTCTCATAATGATAAAAGGCAATCCAATTGTGACTTTAAAGTTGACATTTTTTAATGACAAAATTTGTGAAATTTTTGTTCTACATACACCTGTATCTACAAGGAATACCGAAGGAGTAGACAGGTGTACTCTATTACTTGAGTGGGACTAAATTATAGTTTGGAGACAAGCCTATTCTTGTCAAACAGCAAATTCAGCACTTAAGATGGGAAAATTAGTAGTATAGTGAAAATGAAAAGTGGGTAAGAAGGAAAGAAGATTAATGCAAAATGTGACTTAAACAGATGAATTGAGGACTAGCTCTAACAGGTCAGGTTCAAAATTTGAACAGGCTGTTGCCAAAATAACAAGATTAAGTTAACAATGTGGGGACTTCAATAGGATGTAGCGATTATCAATTATGTTCAACATACTTGGACCTCTACTAAAGTAGACCTTTGTACTGCTAGAAACAGCCTTTAATTGCATTCAATTGAAATTTGTCATACCTGTAAGTAATATCTCATGTTACGGTCCTTGCAAAGCAAAGGTCCTCCTGAATCTCCCGCACAAGAGTCTCTGCGCCCCCGGCCTGCGCACACCATGTTATCAGTTATAGCGTACTGCCAGTAAGAACGACGACATACACCCTGTTGTATTGTCGACACCTGAAAACAAAAAACTAAAATTACTTATCAGGCTTTTAAGAGTCTTTAGATATATAACAGCACACCTTAAAACGAAATTAATTTAAATATTATTGTTTTTATAAGAACATAAACAAGCAGGTGGGTCACCTGATGGTAAGTAACTTCCGCCGCCCATGAACACCTGCTACTCAAGAGTCACAAGTACGACGCCACCCTTTGAGTCCCACCCCCTAGAATCAGGGAGACACAGAGTTTTTGGGCTCAGGTAACTACGAGTAAAAGGGTGTTTAACACCGGTTTTTCTCTGTCTATTTTAAATAATAAATAAAATTAGGCATACATGGATTGTCTAACCAACTGCCATTAAATGTAGTATGGGTAGTTTGATCGTCTTTTACTCGTCTACTCTTATAGAACAATTGCTTATGTTAAAGTACATAACTGGACAACTCTTTTCTCTTTTTGTACTTAATACAATTTATTACTAGTACAAATTAGTAATTTTAACTAATTAAAACTAAGTTAACCGCCTTCTTGAAAATAATGTACGCGTACACTGTATTTTAAATCACATTCCATAATAATATCTTACAAAGTTGTAACAAATCAAAATGCATAATTAAAATTAATTAAAGTGGGATTAGGAATATACTACGTTATCACCATAACACCTCTAACATTATGTACTGCACCCATGGGAAGTATTAATCCAAGACGGTTTTAAGCTTCGAGATTACGAGTAGCAAGGCTTGTATTTATTCATTGAAAATTTCACTATGAATATTTCACAATCAAGCCTTAAATGTGAAACATTTAAGGCTTGATTGTGAAATAATTAAAATATTATTACGGCATGTTATTGCTTTATTTACACACAGACACACACATAAGGACGTATATCCCTTGACATGACGTAACTCTGACGTATCGTAGGCGTAATCGTCCTTCGGCGCCCAACTCGCTTACTTAGAACATCGACAATACCTTACACTTAAGTTCAACTCCCCATTGAATACTCGCTGATCACAGTTACGCTGCTTTATTGCTTGATTTTCCTGTTTCTATTGATTCGCCACCGTACACCTATACTGACAATCGGCTGTTCGGCTCACAGCTGTTTACTTACCCCTGAACCTATTGAATCGTTATTTTGATCGTTTTAATTTAGATAACTTCGGTACCTCTTAGAATGTTCTCAACTTAATTTTAAACATTTTAATACTTATTATTATTAACGGAATATTCCCAAAATCAAAATTCACCAAGATACAATAAAGCTAATTCTGTATGTCATACGTCAGCGTGGCCCCAGCCCCTTCGTTTAAGACGTTACCATATGAAATTAGTTCTTATATTATTGGTTACTATGTACTTACATCAGGAAGAATAATAATTAAGAAAAGAAAAAACTCTAAATTTTTACTTGAATGAAACTAAGTTTTTATTTTCTTACTAGTATAGTAAGAAAATAAAATAATAATCGTAATAATATCTGTACCTACCATTTATAATATTATAAATTCGTAGGTAACTCTTGTATACTGTAATTTACACTTATTTATTTATTAAGTTGTATCCCACTGCAGGGCAAAGGCCTCCCTCTCACTTCCACATCTCTCTGTTATCGTGTTCTAATTTGGACCAGTCCGTTCGGAAGCCATCTAGATCGTCCCACCATCGTCGCCTGGGCCTACCACGCTGTCATTTAGCACCTTGTGGGAGTTCGAAATATACTAAGCGAATTGGGCATCCTACTATGTTTATGACTATAGAAGCGTCGATGGACATGGCATACTATCCGAATCTTGTATCAATACTTTTGTAAGAAATTTAGAACTTTTGTGTTTTGTTTTTTTTTTCTTTTACAACTTTTATTTGAATCAAACAACATATTGAGAATACCAATTTAACTTTGGGTCACATCTTTTTATTAAAACCACAGAGAAATTCTAATTACTAAACTAAAAAAAATTATCAACCCCTTGCTTTGTTATTTCTAAAAGAGATTTCATTTCAGTATGCAATACCGTGATCACGAAGTAGTATATAATCGGTAGTTAGGTTGCATACTAGCGTTTTAGAGTTACTTTTTTTCTTGAGTTAATGAGTAGAGGCAAGTAATATTAGAAGTGCACCGTTAACTGCTTCTGATTCATTTTACATAATATTTACTAAAACAAGTAACACAACACATTGATGTCTCTTGAGTTGCCGGTGTCAATGAACGTGTGACGTGACGTCACGACATCTGGTGGAGCGACGGGTCTAAGTCTAGGGTAAGTCCATTAAACACAAAAGGTCTCGTGTCTCAGTGGTTGATGTTTCGAAGCTGTATATGTACTAAACGGCGTGAGAACTTTCATTACGCGTTGCAGGAATAGTAGTTACTCCGTAGTGCGGTGTGTATTCGTGAGATGGCACTGAAGTATATTTTTGTTTCATTGTGGAAGTTAAGACAGTATTTTGCCGTCAGATAACCAGTTTGATCGTTTTCTGCTTATATCATAACTATGTAGAAAGCAGATGCGCTGCATAAAACAAGCAAAAATAATTTTATATATATCTTTACGACGATATTACACGTGACTGATTTCTCCAAACTGTTTAGCCGTGAGGATTATTCGAGTATCTCGAAATAAGCCACTTGCGCTACCTCCTTTAATTAAACGAAAGATTTTCTTATTTAATTTAACTATTTTAAATGTAAAATGGTTGACAAATTTAAAAACTATCTAATTAAAGGAATGAAAATTCAAAAAATTAAATTAATTCTGGTATGATTTAAATACTGTGAATGAACGAAGTAATATCAGATATTTAATTTTGTTGTGTACCATGGATTACGAACCAATTTTTGGCAAAGGTTCCATAGCCGATGAGTTTTCAGTTTGATGTAAGGTGTGGCTCGACTGTAAGTGAGTTATTCTAGAAAATTACTTATTTCTGGAATTAAATTAGCCGTACTAAGATAACTTTTCCTATAGAACAGTAACTTAAAACGTTATTGGTCGAAAGTTGAAACACTCTTGAGTGTTTGTCAATGTTTTTACTTGTTTGGCACCTTTTTAAATTGATAACATTAATAGAATATCACGGGATATGTATTTTCTATATAGCAAAATTATGAGTATATCTGCAGCCAATGAACATTTAATAAATTATATAAATCTTTTAAAAACAAGTTGAGTTTGAAACAAGCGGTTGATATGCTGTCATGATTTTAAAACTCATCAGATCTATATGTAATTGAAATGGGACCATTCTCTTTCGAAGACAGACAACGGAACTCTCTTAATGATAGGCGTATGATGCTAGATATGTTGTAAAATTTTGATATTCTGCGTGGTGGGCTTGACTCAGTACGCGGAAATCACGGACTAGACATACGTACGGCTAGTTCACTCATACACTGAGAGATTCGACAGTTTAGACATATTTATATATTCGTAGTCAAAGAAATCCTATCGCTGCGAAATCGTTAAGATACCGGTAATTAAGTAGTTGGTTTAGAATCTATTTTTGTTTAAGTTTAGTATTGTGTGTTATGTTTTTTTTCTGACTTTTTTTCTTTTCGTAAAGATTTTTCTTTTAGCTATTTCTTTTCTATTTACTTCTTGGTTAAAGTAACAACAAAATGTCATGAAATTCTGTTATTAGCTTAAGCATATTGTATAAGTGTCACAATAATCATGTGTGAAATGTAAACAAGCTGTTGAGTTTCTTCAGTTTATTAATAAATAAATTATAACTTCAACATATTTTCCTTTACATTTTTGTCCAAATAACTTATTAAATTGAATTAACTGTTAAAGTTTTTGTACGGTAATAAGTTATCATATAAACAAGAACACTGTAGCTTCTAGCTATCTGAAAAAATATTTACAACCAGGTACTTGCTTACAACGGAAATTAAATTTTTTAAATGAAATCGAGTATAATATTAAATCGATTTTGTCACCACTGGATTTTTATTAATAACTTCAAAAACCAAAAGTCTAAGAATGAATACTATTTGACACAGTATTGTACAAGTAGGTATACTGTCGTTTTAAGACTAAAAAGATCGCTTAGTGTGAGAATCATTTGGGGCCGTATCCACATACCGTATAACAAAATCATACCACAGCGCCATTTATTGAAGACGCAGCGAACTACGGAACAACTGTTAATCCTGTATCGCGAGATGAGCAATCGTCATACCTAATGCAACTCAGATGTATGTTTAGTTAAGTTTCTATAATTCTTCTCCACAAAAACATTAACTATGCCAAATACAAATTACATTCAAGGTACAAAGAATATTCTATGTAATAAAATACTTGTATCAACTTGTAAGGATACTCTTTATCAGCAGTATTCAATCAAATCAAACATTCAATAACGTTCACTGAATTATATGATAATTATCGTTCCCTGAAAGTACTTTCGCAAACAACCAATATTCTTATCTTCTTTTGTTCTTCCTATTATTTCAACAAATATTTATATTAAATCAGAAATAAAAGGCTCTTTCTTCTGTACTAAGAATTATATCCAATTAAACATATTTTTAATGTAAAGTAAGAACATCAAAGCTTAAAAGTAAATAACAGTAATTAATGTTCTGTCAATTCAATATTTATTTACAAATTATATTTATTTGGACAACTAGGTGGCTAACCGCATACACACAATAATATTGACAATAAAATACATAACTATACAAATAAATAAAATTGAAGTGTCTGTAATGTCAAAATATGTACTAGATTTTTTCATGCTCATACGATTATTTGCACGATACCTATGCCTAAAAACCAGTTAACATACTTTTTGTCCGTCTGCCAGTCAGTCTGTCTATCTGTCTGTTTGTTCGGGTAAGCTTCAAAACGCCTTGACCGATATTGGTAATATTTTACTACCGGGTAGCTGTCTGTATAAGGAGTAACTTAGGCTATTTTTAACCGACTTCAAAAAAGGAGGAGGTTGTTTATTTGTATATTTGTATAGTTTTTATACATACAAAACTCTGTTATATTTGGACGAATTTTCAAAATAATGCCGTACCGTGCCTTGCCGCGACGTTAGTCAGCTCCGGCCTTAACACCGTCCACCTGTCGCCCCCAGGCGCTTATGAGATCATTCAGCGACCACGAGCGCTTAAGCTACCTGCAGTACCTGGTCCGTTCCCGAGCCTGGTGAGCCGGGAGAGGGTTCTAAGTCCCTCCTGGTCCCCGCAGGAGGAGTTAGTCGCTCCGTACCATGGTCGCATTCAGTCACGACGTCATGCCTCTGCTCCATACACGCTGGACATTTTATTTTATTTATTTATTTATTTATCAAAAATAGACTCATATACATCTTGTTTACAAATAATATTTCAAGAATATTACAACTAAAATAATCTTGCCACATGTATACAATATTAGGTTCCTGACTCCCAAACTAGGTTTATCACCTGTGACTTGGGAGCCAGTGTTCCTCCATTATTACGTGGATATTTGCTCAAGCGTCTATAGGAGTCACTCAATTGTGAACTTCTGCATATATGTGTTCCTTTTTTGTAAGAATTTATTTAGGTGAAGAATTGTATACTAAAAGATATACTGACCAACAAAGATAATTTTAATAAAAGATATCTTAGTTGTTTGTTACCATCTGTGTGAAAATGTATGTGTACGTGTAGGCATTGAGTATGAGTGTGTGTATGAGTGTGTGTGTGTGCGTGTGTGTGTGTGTGTGTGTGTGTGTGTATTCTATGAAGGGAAAAGAAATAATTTTACTATTTCCTCATAGTTTTGTTCAATCAACCATATTTTAACTTTATTTTTACACTGATGAAAGTTGAGGCTGTGTATTCGAAGTAGTTTAGTTATCTTATTGTATATTTTTTTACTAAGGAAGTAGAACTGGTGTTTTGCAAAGGTAGTAAAGTGTCTTGTGGGAGAGAAAACTATATCCGCTCGACGTTTTTTGGCTTTCTCTGTTGGGATGTGGTGTGTTCTCACTATACTTTGAAGCACATATAACTTCCTGACCGTCAGCACTTCACACTCCCTGTAGAGCCTCTCAGTGGGATATCTGAATGGCTTGCGAAACATGACTTTGAGCACGACTTTTTGTGCTCTTTCGAGTTTAAGGAAGTAGGTCTTACAGGCCCACCCCAAACTGGCAAACAATAGGTAAGCAAAGACTGACAGAGTGAGAAGTATACTACCATAAGAGTACTCGAGTCACATGAATATCGCAACTTTTTGAAAATGTAGATTACTTTGCGTATTCTAGAAACCAAATTATCAATGTGCAAATACCAATTCAGGTGTTTATCGATTTGCACGCCCAGGTACTTTATTTGTCGTGTTGTAGACAGGCAAGAACAAGTGCAAGATGAATACTTTGGGTATGCTCGACAAGTGTGAGCTTTTATAGAAATGGGTATTCTGGGCTAAGTTTGGTTCCCAATCGAAAAATTGATGACTTTAGTTTTTTCTGTGTTTAAGGTTAACGAATTATTGGCTAACCAAACTCAGCACTAGATCGAAAGCCGACTGGGCGTGCTGTTTTGTTTCTCGCCAATCTTTACCGTGTATTAACAAAGCTGTGTCATCAGCGTAGGTATACACAGAACAGTTTTCGAGAGGAAGTGAGCACATTAGAGATTGATGATTGATTGATGAGGTCATTTATATACACGAGGAAAAGTGTTGGACCCAATATGCTGCCTTGGGGCACGCCGCACTCTATAACGGCCTTGTCACTTATTATATCCCCTATTTTGACGTGTTGGTATCGATTTTTAAGGTAACTCGAAAATATATCAAGAGCCATACCACGTACCCCTATGCGCTCCAATTTTAATAAGAGTAGTGTTACAGGGACACTGTCGAAGGCCTTTGAAATATCTAAGAAAATTCCAAGACATTTCCGCTTTATGTCCATTTGCCTAGCTGCGGTTTCAATTTAACCAACCACCGCGTCTTCCGTTGCAATACCGGATCTAAACCCATATTGATTTTTTGACAAGATGTTGTTATCTCGAAGATAAGCAAGCAAACGGGTATTTAGAAGCCTCTCTAAAATTTTGGACATAGCTGGTAAGACCGAGATAGGTCTATAATTACTTTACACTGTCCCTGTCTCCCCCTTCGAAGATTGGATGGATTAGGGCTATTTTAAAGGCGTCTGGAAAGATTCCAGAAGTTAGTGTAAGATTGCAAGTGTGGGTGATATAAGGGACCAGAGTCTTACGTGCTGTTTTTAAGATGTTAGTTGAGATACCATCAATTCCTACTGCTGAATGGGATTTTAAACTATTTATAATTTGTTCGACTTCTCGATAATCAGTTTCCAGAACAGCCATAGAGTGGCAGGGTGAATTTGAAAAGTTATTATTGATCGGCAGATTAATAGTATTGCGTTGAATTCTGGAGGCCAATTTACTTCCAATATTAACAAAATAGTTATTAACGGCATTGACCGAACTACGCTCATTGTTACTAATTTTTAGGAGTTCCGTTGGTGGTGGCGGTGTTTGTTTGGAGTGCATGACTTCTTTTATAAAGTCCCAGGTACCTTTACGATCATTCTTTCTTTTTAAGAACTCTGTTTTCTCGTAACTGATCTTAAGCTTCCGCAATAAAGAGTTGCAGAAGTTTCGGTAGCGAGAGTACGTTATTTTTAAGATAGGATTATCGGGTTGTAATCTTAATGATTTATGCATTTTGTCTCGATTGTGGATACAGCGCAGTATGCCGGGGGTAATCCATGGTTTGATATTACGCTTCTTTTCTTGAGAGTTTGTTTTATCGTGTGCGTTTCTGAATTATTTTGTGTAATTCTGTAATCAGAATATCTGCTGCTACATTTGCATTATTGGCCAAAAGAACCGGTGAGAAATCTGCGCATTCTATGTCCTTCTGGATGCTTGTTATATCTAGTGTTTTAGTGATATAGGTTTGCTTAGACTTTGGTTTGCTCAAGTCAAGATTTAAAACGGCTGTGAAAATTCTTGAATATTATATTTCTTTAATATTCAAGTTTTTTTTTGCCAATCTTGCATAAACAATATTATTGTGTGTGTGCGGTTAGCCTATGGGAAACGGCGGCGGAGCATACCATTTCCGAATTTTTGTATGCTTTAAAGTCTCTTCGCATTGGTTGAGGTTTTTTTCTATTCTTATATATATCTATCAATTGTGAACATAATGTATCTGGTTATCCGTTTAGTGTAGATTCTAACTCTTTACTGTATTTTTTATGAAATCAAAGAGTTATGATTTATCTTTAAGAGTCACAACTTTTACCTTGATAGGTTCTTTCACAAAAAATGTAGATAAACGGCGTACGACACTCATAAACTGTATTGTAACTTTTAAGAGACAGGAACTTTTACAGCCGTTAACTTTATACAATGAATCCAGTATTCATATTTTAAACGTAATACTTTGTGAGTTCCTTAACCAAATTGATATATTTGCTGCTATAAATTTACTATCTATTTAAGTGTGTTTGGAATATTTATATATTCATATAACCCGAACAAATGACGTTATGTAAGAAAAAAAATGTTTTATGGTGTCCTTCACTACCTTTAGCTATGGAAGTACATAATGTGACGAAAAAAGCTTTTTGATTATGATAAAATCGATTTCTTGCTATATTCATAAGCAACAGGTTAACGATACGAATCATTACGATATTTTTGTATTATAAATGAAGTCACCGGCATTGTTAATTCAGCTGCGTTGGAGGCCCTCTTTCGTTCAGGATTTTATCCCATTTACCATGGAAGAGGCAAGTTTCGGTACAATTGGGCCCTCTCGATCGGAGTGATACCATGGCTTCACAGAAAACTCCTCCACTTCCTCTAACTCCTTAACTCGGGTTAAGGGACTCAAAGGACGGCAACTCACTTGTGACTCTAGTATATATTGTATATTTTATGATTATATATTATATATCTATTATGTCCTTAGACAGCGGACGGACAGACATCAAATAAGGGCTAAAGTTTGATTCTATAATTCATAATGGGTTTGAAACGACTTCATAAAAATAAAAAATAAAACATCATTACAATAATTCTTGTTTGGACAATATTTAGTTGAAGTTCAACCATTTCTTAAAGAGTAAGCAATTATGTTAGTGACAAACCGGCTAAAATTACTTAGAATCTACGACATAAAATGTCATGTCATGCCATGACCTAAAGACCTAGACGGTTACGGCGATTAGGATAGGCTACTAAAATTTTAATCAAATTTACCTGTGCTTCATGTAGTACTCTGGTTCCGTGTATATCAGTAGGCCTCTTCTTACCCCAGCCTAATATAACACACGATGTGTGAGGGGGTAAGGGCTGAAGAGGTGCGGGCAGGCACGCCACTCCGTGACCCAAATCTGGTCGCCCTGGTATAGGCAACCTGTAAAAAAAGGAGTACTTAGATAACTTTCTCGGGTTTAATGGTTTTTTTAGCTAGTTTCTGCTAGGTTTTAGGGTAAAATAAACGACTAAAATGTTTAAAGTCGAAATTGCATTACTTTACATGTCATTAAAATAGTTTTTTTTACTGTTGTGTTTCAAACGGTTATTGAGTAGATTCAAATCGCTAGATGATTTAAATGTTAATATTTCATCATCCATCATCATCATCAACCAAACCACACTTAAAGGAAATTAAAATTAGGAAGTATTTGGTTATTTGCTTTCTTTTTCTGTATATATTCAGTCTTTTTTTTTATTTTTTAAATTTCTCTGTACACACCACTCTTTCTTGTTGTACTAACCTCTCTTCACTCTTAGGTTTGCTGGAAGAGAACTCAATTATGGGTTAAGCTCGCCTTTGCGCACACTAATCCTGAATGTATTTTTTCTGTAAACGTTTATATTGTGTTTATAGCTTGAGAAAAATCTTTTGTTTAAATGGGGTTTTGTGCTAATTAATTTTAATTAATCAACGTTGTTTTTGTCGGTTTTATTGGTTTAACTTAAATGTAGACAAACGTGACTGAAAAGTTGCACTTATTCCGTTGCCTTCATGACCATTTATTATTCATGTCAGAACAAAGTCCCTAAGGAAATATTAATGTAATCGGAAAATTATTAACTTCTTGTTTACAGTTAAAAAAAAATCTCTACATATATTAAGATTAGCACACATTAACACACAGTTCACAGAGTCTACAAAGCAACTTATAAATAAAACCGAACTAGAGATTTTCGGTGTTTCAGAGATAACGCCGTTGCACAACGGACAAGAATTTAGGGTATCGTCATATCAATTTACAATGTTTATATTAAATGGAACCGCACTTAAACGCTAATACAATAACGTAGAGCACACATACATTGCTAATTACTTTAATATGTACTATTGAGTGTAAACGGAAAAACGTAAAAGATGTGTAACCATCAATCATTCGTATGCCGCCCACTTGTTAATTTAAAGTCGACAAAATCAGAGTTATGTTAGTGTTTTCATAGCATAATATTGTTGCGCCATAGGATTAAATGGTTCGATTGTATGAAATGTGGAGGACAGCGCCATCTAGTATCGACTAAAGTACATCTATTAAGGTTGTGTTAAATACGAGTAGTTCTGATCCTTACAGCGCCAGATGGCGCTGCAAGTAACGCGTGACTGATTCTGGAAAATTCGTGTTTGTTTGGTGCTGACTGTCGAATACTAGGAACTTTCTAGTAAAATTTAAAAGCGGAGCGTGTTGGCCGTTCGAGACAGTTTCGTTTTACGACACAGAGTTGACACGAATTAACATCAGAGTGAATTTCAAATGCGACTAACAAGATTAGATGCGACTAACAACTTTTATTTATTATATACCCCGCTCGTAACAATATGTAGACTGTTTATATTTATGTAGAGAGTAGCTTTGTCCTTGGTTTTACCTTTTTGTAATGTGCTTAAGTTCCTTCGGCATTCCGACTTCATAAACATCCATACCAGGTGGCAAAAATAACACGTCAGGGAAATAGTGGGTGAGGCTTTAAGCAACATAAACATTACTCAGAATAAACTGATTACGGCCATTAACACGGAACTTAAACTTTTATGAAATAAGTTCATTTTTGTCACAGAGCATAATTGGAGTGAATTTAAATTTATCTGTATAAAACGAGTATACGAACACAGACACAGAACAAATGACCGTGCTCATCACACAATATTTGTCCTGGGTGGGTATCGAGCCCACGACCTCCGGCTTTGCAGTCAGGGTGACTAACCACTAGACCAATAGGCCCGTCAAAGTAGTCAGATAATGTCCAGAGACAATTGTAATCAGAATAGATTCTGTATTATATCTGTATCCACTCTGAGGACATAAATACTTAAAGTATGAACTTCCACTATCAAACAGCCATGTCAGTACTGGAATACACTTGATGCACAGTAGTTTAATTAAACAATGACTTTGTCGTTTTGTCACATAACTTATTATAAACATCGTCCGACTGTCCGAAAAATATAGCAGAATATAAAATAAATAGACCTCTGAGTTATAGAGAAAATGTGTTGTTCGAATACATATCACTACAGGTTTAATGAGCCCCAGGTATATTTTAGGGAAGTAGGAAAAAAAGGGAAAATGAAGAAGAAGGGAGTTGAAAGAATTGTATTAGGCAAAATTTCGGCGATTTTTATAAAAAAAAAATAGACCTAGACTAGAGAATTGACTGCCTTGGTGGTTCAGTGGTAGCGTATGCGACTGCTGTGCTGAAGTCTCGGGTTCGATTCCTAGGTCGAACCAAATGTTTGTATGATCTGCAAATATTTGTTTCGGAGTTTCGTGTTGTTTATGTATAATGTGTATGTATTTACAAAAAAAATGTATGTAAGTATTCTATCAGTCAATCTAGCTTTTATAGTACAAGCTCTGCTTAGTTTGAAACTAGATGGCGTTGTGTGTAAGATGTTTATTAAAAAGAAAAAAAAAAGAAACCTCAGCCCTATATCAACCCGTCTGGCCAGCGTGGTATAGTAGGCCAAAACCCCCTTTCTAAGGAGTGGCCTATGTCCAGCTGTGGACTAGTAAAGGCTGTTGAAGATGATGATGAATATAACGAAATAAAAAAAATGATCAGTCATAATATCTTTTTATAAAAGTACATTTTTTACGAGCTGACGGGTGACCTGGTGGTAGTGGAAAGCGACAACCACGGACCATGGATGCATGCAACTCAAGATTCACAGGCACGTTGCCGGCCTCTGAGGTGGGAATGTGCTCATTTCTTGAAGGTTTATCTAGGTTCTTTCTAGGAATGATTAAAATAACACATTACAATCTTTTTTAAAACGATCCTACATAGAAAGTTAAGACAATGAAGGGATCTAGTACAAATCTTAAAGATTTGAGGGATTTTATATTTCAGTATAATATTAAAAACAAAACGCTAGGTTTGGTAAAACGAAGAATCAGCGTATGCCAAGATTTATATTTGAATTTGAAATGATTATATTATTAAAAACATTTTCTTTTGTTGAGCGTTGAGTTTGTTGTAGATCATAGAATTGAATTTTAAAAAAAATGAAAGGCAAAGCAACGGTAGCTTTGTAATGTAAATAAGCAATAAATGAAGAAAAGTTTGCCTCTTCAGCTTTTGACTTGAGTTTGAATCCTTAATAGATCATAGCAGATCATGTCTTGTGATAAACGACTCTTGACTAAAAACTTAGTGCAAAACATCAGTTTCTTTCTTACTAAGTTTTCAGACGATTTCTATGCTACAGTAATGTAGTATTGTGTCATTTTTTTTTTAAATATCTTTCCGCGTGTAGGCACAGATAATTAAACAATTTACAGACATTATATAAATCCGGATATTTACTGTTTTTATTAATCCAATACCAAATTCATGTAGTTCTTTTCAAAATCGAATTTTGTGTGTTAAAATTGTTTTTTTTTTAGTGTTGTACGATATTCTAAGAGTTAATTATACGTCCCTATAAAGTTTAAACATACACCACAATATTCTTATTTTTATTTTGTAAAAATTTGTCTCTCGCATTAGAAATATTAAAAAAAAATCCTGTGTCACGGGGAACTTTACAAACATACATGAAACGAACACAATGAACACCCAGACTTAGAACAACAATTTGCGGATCACCCATAGTGGTGTCCCATGTGGGGATCGAACCCACAACACTCAACGCAGTAGGAAGCGGCGTGGTGACCGCTTAAACCACTACGCCATTCGTGCAGCCTATTTTACAGTATAACTTTTTCTTACACTGTGTAATATTACTTTCCTATATTATTTCCAATGTTACATAAAAGTGTAAATACAAATATGTGGTTTTCACTGTTACATACGCGCTATTTAAACAGCTGCACTTGCTATTGTTTCATAGAAATTAGACTCTGCACGTTAATGGTACAATTTTTTTCTCACCAACTCGTTAATTTTATTGCACTTTGACAGGAAATAATCATTTATCATGCCAACGAAAAATGCTTACTAGACGTGCAAAAGTGTTATCACGATTTTTTTTTAGGCCTATAATAATCATTAAAAGGGGCGGCCATTAAAGCTTTTTAAACGAAAGTAATAAATTTAAGTCATACATCAGAAAATACTGTTAGGGGGCTTGGATTTCTCGGCAACAGTCAGACTTCGCTCAGTTAATAATGTGATTGTCTTATGTCCCTCTCAAAACTCCGACTTCGTGAACTCTTCATTCTTTGTTAAAGCAAATCAGGATGTCCGCAAACCGTTTTTTATTCAAAAAGAAGGTACATGATCTCCTTCTTAATGAAATGGCAAAACTATCTGATCCATAGTACACCTTATATTCCGGTATTCATAGTGTAGGAATAGAATATGTCAATGTATGTATATAAACACATTTATATAAATGGAGTGTATTTATGTTGTGTTTTGTTTTATGTGTGTATTTGTGTATGTATAAGTTTATGTATGTAGTGAACCGTGTTTTTTTTCATTGATTACATAATATGTAACCTCTGTGCACCTACCTTATAAGATTTCTACACCACCAAAAGATTGACTGGAAGAGAATGGCCTGGGCATAAAGTTCGACGATGTACAAAAGTGCATAAAGTTAAATAAATATAGGAACCTGACCGACTGGAGCTATTGCTTACCCCTGCAATCCATCCTTATAAGTAATACTCTTTTTGTACCATTCCCTTCCCATCTTACAAACTTTGGCTCACATATTGAGTCCTCAATTTGCCCATCTAATTTCTCAATTTATTTTTTACGTGTGGAAAGCCCCTCGGCCGGTCACCCCACGGGCAAATAGGCGGGATCCGGAAGCAGCTGTTATTAAAACATCCGGACCCCTTCTAAGGCGTTTACCATGTCTCTGCTAACCTCTTTAGGATATCCAGAAGAAGTTAGCAGTACAGTATATAATATGCCAAGCCACATATTTTGACTGAGGTGTAGAGTTTTTGAGGTTATTGTCAAAACGCCGTAAGCTTGGCCCTCCCGATTGTGTGCAGGACGCGTGACGGGTGATGCGCTTGGCTATACACGACACGATGTACTAACTCGATATCTTCAGATTTATATGTTTGAGATTTAATCTACGATGTAATAAAAATAGACTTTATTTTCAAGTATTATAATTTTAGTATATTGTATTTTTTTATGATTCATTGTAAAATTTTAATACTTGTATAATAATTTTAATAAAATCACCTTAGCTTTATCATGTACATATTTTTCTGATTTCTTGTTTATTTAAAAAAAGACAATGCCCGCTGTAGGAATATATCCTGAGTCGCAGTCCCTTTACAAACATACATGAAACGGACACAAAGAACACACAGACTCAGAAAAACAATTTATGGATCACACAAAGTGTTGTCCCGTGTGGGGATCGGACCCACAACTTTCAGCGCAGTAGGAAGCGGCGAGGTGACCGCTTAAACTACTACGCTATCTGTTTAGTGAGTATTGTTATAAATTGTAATTAGATACAATATAATAACGAAGTGAAATATAAAATATTCTTTATTGGAACTTTAAACAGTAGAACCTCTGTAAGCCGAACTTTAAGGGAGATACCAAATATTTCGAGTTATAGAGTTTTAGACTTATGGAACTTGCTACTTGTAAAGCCCTAAGCCTTTACAAGTAGAATATTTACTTATATGTTTTATTTATATATATATTTACAAAATGCACCTAAGTCGAATACTTCCATAAGTCCGAAACTCTGTAACTCGAATTATTTGGTCTCTCAAGTCTCTAAAGTTTATTCTTTCTTTGACCTTGATGTGTGATTCATTTTTAAATATTGTAAATTTTTAGCAATATCTTTTTCAGCGAGGCCCAAAGTTTTCTGATATTTTTTCAATCGACAACTTCTCATCATCATCATCATCACCAACAGCCTTTAGTAGTTCACTGCTGGACGTAGGGCTCTCCTTACAAAGGAGGTTTAGGCCATGGGCCGTCTAAATCACGCAGGCCAGATGGGTTGTTAAAGAGTTGGTTGTCCTGCGTACTTTGCTCCCTTAGTCGGCTCTTACGACACCCACGGGATGAATAGAGGTGGTGATACTCCTCATTTTAATATGTCACCACACGGATAAACGACAACTGCTACTGTATATTAATCAAGTAACTTAAAATAAAAATTAATTATATTTTAAAAAACTGGATTAGTGTTAGTGCTTCAAATACTCACTCACGACATAATTTAAAAATAGCCCTCAGAGGGCCTAGTGTAACTTTATTTCACTTCTACTCGATCAATACTTCTACTACAAAATTACACCAGACCCTCCGATTAACAGGACCCTCCATTAATAACATCATTGCAAGTGAGCCTATAATGTAATATTAGGTCCTTACATATGAAATTAGCGTTTTGTCGTACTGACGAATTTGATCTGAAATATCTCCTCTTTGGTTAAGAATTCCAAATTAAAATTTATTAATTCATTTAGCTGGTACATTTGAGTTTTGAAAACAGTCATTCATTTGTTTTTTCGCCATTATTTTTTTCTTTGGCGTTGCTTATTACCGGACAATGGAAAACATGAAATATCGATATATTTAGGAGTACTAGTTCTACCGTGGCACCAGTACTTCAGAAACAGCTCGGTGGATTAATGATGTGTACGGCGCTGGTGTCGCAAAACAAAGCACGATACGTTTTTGGTTTCAACGTTTTTGTTCTGGAAATTTCGACCTTCAGAACCAACCACGTGGACGGCCGGAGACCAAAGTGGAAAATGAAGAATTATAGGCTATTATGGAAGCGGATCCATCACAAAGCACTTCAGAGATAGCTGCAGGCTTCGGGGTAAGTGATCACATCACATCATCAGCCTGTAATAGTCCACTGCTGGACATAGGCCTCTCCTTAGAAAGGAGGTTTTGGCCTACTATACCACGCTGGCCAGACGGGTTGGTATAGGGTTTGTGTCAAGTTTTCCTTCTCTTTGCAGTGCTATTGCCTTGCGTAGTTTGCTCCCTTACTCGGCTCTTACGACACCCAAGAGATGAATAAGGGTGGTCACACTCCGTATTCTTAATCGGTCACCACACGGACACGGGGTAAGTGATAAAACTGTATTAATCCACTTGAAGCAAATCGGGAAATTAAAAAAAACTTGAACGATGGGTAACTCATGAATTGAGTGAATCGAACTTGCAAACACGCGTCGACGGCTGTGTTACTTTGCTCAACCGACACAATAATGAAGGGATTTTAAATCTGTGATGACTTGTGATGAAAAGTGGATACTGTACGATAATCGGAAGCTCTCATCGCAATGGCTGAACCCTGGAGACCCACCAAATCCTGCCCTAAACTAAAATTGACTCAGAAAAGTTAGTTGTGGGTGTTTGGTGGACTAACGCCGATGTCGTTCACTACAGATTTCTAAAATCTTGCCAAACGATTACGGCAGATATCTATTGTCAGCAACTGCAAACCATGAAGGAACAACTAGCTGCTAAACAACCGAGATTGGTCAATCGATCTAGGCCAATGCTGCTTCATGACAACGCAAGACCACACACTGTACAACAAACAACCACTAAGTTAGATGAGCTACAATTGGAATGTCTGCGACATCCACCGTACTTTGCCGGACCTTGCTCTAACAGATTACCATTTTTTCTGAAATTTGTAGAACTTCTTACAAGGAAAAAATTCAACTCCGATGCGGCAGTCAAAGAGTTTAAGTTGTGTGTTAAGAGTAAGCACCTACAAAAATAGTCCAAATTATGGGGAAAAACTTATACATATTAACTTAAGGTAATAGTCAGATGTATGACTTTCTTTATAAGCATTCTCACACTAACGCGTCATTGAGTAACCGTGTATAGCAACTGCAGGAATAATTACTTAGCGAATATCACTTTGTCATTTAGAAGACAAAAGCGACAAATATTTTCTTTCTACAAAAGTTATTAAATAATAAATTGTACTATTACAACGCGTACGTAGTAAGCGCTTGATCCTCAGTTACAAGAGCAAAATTAACAAGGCCCCGACACAATACCGGTTACGTAATCTGTAATAAAACATCGGATACCGTAGCATAGCGACGTCGTTGACGACCGTGTCGGGGTCATAGCGGGGATGTATGACGGCCTCCGTGACCTTCATCTCCATCTCGCCATGGTTCCGTAGGAGCAGGTCGTGTTCACCCAAGCGAACATATAGACGCTTCCGAACGCAATGCGCAGCCGTCACCACCCATCGTAGCGATACCAAGGTGCCACCACAGAAAGCTTCCTGTAACAAAACAAATTCAAGTAGCATAGCTATAAAAATTGGCTACGAATTACGTTTAAATGACTTCTGAATACAGGTAAAACCCTACTGGCACTAAACTCTTAATATGTTACGGAATATTTTCAAGTATTATAAATATATGGATCCTCGTAGCAAAAGCTACGACTTCATTTACAGCATGAGAGTAAAGCAGTAGGCGCTTCTTGTATTCGCCACTTGCTAATTAAATTATCTACGTAATGAATAAACAAAATAGGTATTTAAAATGATTTGATGCTAAGAGCTTTTATGTAATTAATCTAAGAATGGTATTATAACCCAACATTCATGAATATTTGTGTGTGTTAAATTAATTAATAAGTAATACTTGGATATATGAACACTATCTAGACATAAATAGGTTATAATCTAAGTATTTCTTAGATTTTATATTTCTTCTAACTCAGTAAACAATAATCTTCGTCTTCGTCTGAAAAATAAAATAAAAAATCATTTAATATCCCTTAGAGCTGGTAAAATATAGTTCGTGATGACAGACAAAATTATTACATTGTAAAAGTATAATAGTAGTTTACCTTGTAGGACAATATCTTAATTTTTTAGATCAATACTTTTTTAGTTCCAGGGATACTCCGTGTACATAATTTATATCTATATTGCAAACTCAAGTATAAGTTACCAAACAATCAACTATTACTATATGATTAATACTGCACACATACTACTGGACACACATTATGGCCCATGAGGCGAATAGAGGTATTCTTAATCCACTGTCAGCAGCACAATCATGTCTGTAAAATACACGCTCAACAACAAATATCGATTATTACTAGTACCTAATACGTATCTTATAATTATCCTTTGTCAAGATTGTATGAAGAGAAAGTTTACCAAAAAAAAAGTAAAGAAGTCCATTGTCTATTTAAATGTAATGCCAATAATTATTAGAAATCACCCTGCAGTTAAATATTGATAAATAATCCTTCATCATCGTCAACAGCCTTCACTAGTCCACTGCTGGACATAAGCCTCTCCTTAGAAAGGAGTTTTGGCCTAGTATACCACGCTGGCCAGATGGGTTTGTATAGGGTTTGTGTCAAGTTATCCTTCTCTCTGCAGTGCTGTTGTTCTTCGTAGTTTTCTCCCTTAGTCGGTTCTTACGACACCCACGGACATCCAACAATAATCCTTAATTAACTGTTATTTTTTTGGTGAAATTATATTTTCTTTGGTTCACCTACTTGAACTGTCATTGTAATAGAACCTATAGCTTTTCGTACTGATTTTCTTATAAGTTATGAATCATAACAAATGTGTATGTGTACTACACATAAATGTGTGTGTTTGCTATTATTCTTCTACATATTAACTTGAAGTATTCCAAATTTTACACTATTTCATGACCAACATATATTTACAAAGATGCATTAAGAATTATTTTCAAGCATTAATACATTTGTATAGCATTATATTATTACATAATATATATACATATAGTGCGTGTCACCGCCGTATTTCAATATCCATTTTTGTTACACGTAATTACACAATGAGTAAATCCGTAAAAGCCTTAATATGCAATATAAACATTATATTATTTGTATTTGTTTAATAACAGTCTTACAAAATAATGATTACCGTATTAAAACATTGGCAGCGAATACATGCAGCATATCTAGTAATAATGTCAACTAACGAATGTTACGTTTATTTATATCCGTGGAAGCATTTGAATGAGTCATCATATCATTGCTATTGCCATTGTTTTAGCTTTGCACTCCATGCATATTTATTTTAGATTTACGGCTGTTTTGACAATAGAACATGTAAGATCGGTTAATGACGATATACATCAAATAATATTAAATAGATCGTGATGGTTTATTTGGTTTATATATATTGAATACGAAAAATATATAGTCAGTATCATTCGGGAGGATAAGTGATGTAAGGATTCTAACAAAACTCACACACACACATACATGAACTCTAAAAATTCGAGTAGTAGGAGACGTTGCTAGCGCCTTCTTGATTTCATTTTTCCGTCCATCGTCTATCAAAGTGTTTTATATACTGATCATTAGATTGCACAGATTACATATTAGATAGTATTTCATACTCGATTAAATTGACTTTATTTGTTTACTGATAAAGATATTCAGTAAAACCGAATAAATGACTGTAGTCATGCTACAGAAGTTCCTTGACTTTAACAATTACGGAGCTGTTAAAGTATACATTTTATTTAGTTTTTAGATTCTAGCCATATGTTTAATGAAAGAGAAACAGCGGCTAATAATTTCTCCAATATTACTGTCGCTAAAAATATAGTCTCTCAGTTTCCTAGATTAGTGTCACTTGGCAGAGTTGACATTTTATAATGTATTATACAGTCGGAGTCTATGTCTCACTCCTGACATAATTAGTTCCATGGCTGAGATGTGGCTAATAAGCATGCTCGTTACATAGCAATTCATGATTGCATGACGAGTGCCATACGAACATCTGTGGCAACTGTTACGGGCTGTTTGAAGCCCTCGATGGTCCAACAATAGTGTATCTACAGAAATTCAGTGTCGCCTCAATGTTCAACTTGGATTGTGGACGTCCGATGGCATTCTCTCCGGGTAAAAAATCGAACTTATACCGTGTCGTAGTAGAATGAATGCTGACCCCAAATTAGTTTGGGAAAAGGCTAGGCGGATGATGTTTGGCGGTTTCTACGTTGGGTTAGTGATTGTAGCTACTTACTAGATTACTAGCATCAAAAATAACATTAATTTCCTAATAGGAACAATAGGACAAAAATTATCGGTCAGGTTTTTTATTTGATAATATCCTAGTGCGAGTAGGTTCTGGTACTCCTTCTGCTTTGCAATGTCTTAACGTTAAAATTAAATGATTAGCTGGAAAAATCTTCCATAAACTGAAATATCATTAATATTAAATCGTCTAGCACTATTTGAAAACATATTTACATATGAGTATTTGATTGGGTATTTCAAAAGGTAATATTGGAATACTTTTCGCCTAAATGTTATATTACAATGAAACATTATATCAAACAACACAAAAGCAAATTCAAATATTGTAAATGGTTCTACTATTGTTCAATATTTGATATTTCTGAACTTCTAGTTAAGCTCATGATATCACTTTCATGGACACATATAAGAACACACAAACAAATCATGAATACAGAGCTATAAAAAATAAATAATTATTCATTAGCTCCAAAATTAATTATTTGTATTATAACAACAATAAATAGAATACCGGCTATGGAGATGTTGTAGGATGCACTTTGATGATGGTACTGGTACTGGTATTTTAAAAATAGTTTTTTAGTAGTTATAAAATAGAGAAGGACACTATTTGCAAGGTAAATAGCTTAATTTTTAAAAGTTTTAATACTTATTCGTTGTTCATGCATTATAAAGAGGTACTGCAGATAACAGTAATTTATCATCAAAATTTCAAATTTCAGAATGCACTAAAATCAAATATATATGCTAATACTTATATGTGAGATCAAATAACAGAAAAAAGAGATGCTATAATCAGATCATTATTCTGTTGCTTGGATACATTAACGTAGGCGGGTACTTGATGTAACTCTATAAGTAAATCGGTGAAAAAGCATCATACATATTTTTAAACTTACACATAAGGACAGTTAAATATATACAAATAATTATAATAATGTGTTGATATCTGTGACTCTAAGTGTGAAAATTCCAAGCACTGCCGTATCTTTACACTTTTACCACACCAGTAGGTATTTTGAAGAAAGGTTTCTTAACCGATATTTACGAATCGAGGTACCGGCCTACCTTGGTGAGCAAAACGTATTTCGTTCGTGCATTAGATTAGTACCTTTTTTCGAAAATAAGGCAATTTTTAAGGTTCCGTACTTCAAAAGGTAAAAAAAGAACCCTCAGATAACTCTCTTGTCCGTCTGTCAGTCTGTCTGTCCGTGTGTCACCACCGATTTTCTTAGGAAAGGTTAGACCTAGTAAGTTGAAATTTATACCAGATACTGAGGTCTACAGTCCCTATTAGGTGTATAAAAATCAAGGTCCTGAGTGAATACGATAAAAAATATGGGTAAATTTAGATTTTCGCAAAAACTTGTAAGTACCTCAATTTACCTTAATTTTCAAAAAAAAAAATTCTTGGAATTTTCCTTTTACTTGTGCTTTAAGACCTTGCTTTAACCAAAATTGATAATTGTAGGTCAGTCGGAAGTACCCTATAGGCTTTGGGTTGAAAACTTATATGGTAGTTCCCGTTGACCTAGAATCACGAATTTTGGCAAAAAGCAAGGTCTAACAGCACAAATAAAGAAAAAAAATCCAAAAAATAAAAAAAGTTGAAAGTTAAGGTAAATTTTGGTACTTATAAGATTTCTCGAAATCCACGTAAAATCTGAGTAGGTACAGAACCCTCGGCGCACGAGTTCGACAGATTTTTATATAATGTACCTAATGGCTGAGAAAACAAACTTTAAAAAGGATGACACTAAAGAATTTGAAAAAGCGCTTGATTAACTAAAGATCACTGAACATGTTATCGGAGAAGGACGAAGTTATTTGTAATTTGCATAAAAAGTTACGAAGATTTCATGCGACTTTATGAATAGTATAAATACTGTCGGTTGCGTACTGATAGAAACAACCATACTTATATTATAAATGTAAAAGTAAGTTGGTTTGTTACGCTTTTACGGCTGGAACACTAAACCAATTATTTAAATCTTTCACCAATGAAAAGCGCGCATTACGCTCAAACGCCTGGACCAATTTTAATAAAGTTTGGCTGGGAGGTAGCTGACACCCTACATTAAAAATTAAAAAAAAAATTGTGTTCTGTGTGATGAGCAAGGAATTGAAATATATTTGTTACTCTTTCAAACTCAACCGCAGGTAACACTGCGGGCGCCCGTTGGAGCGGGACTGGACGGTGGCCGGGGACAGTAAAAAGAGGCGGAAAGCCGCCAAAAAAGCGGCCAAGAAGGCGAGGAGGGACGCCGCCGCCGCCGCGAAGGGAGCGCCGAGGAAGCTCCGCGCCCCTCGCTCCTCGGCCGTCGTTATCACTTTGACGGCGGAGGCAGCGGAGAGGGGCGTGGGGTACGCCGAGGTCTTGACGAAAGTCAAGGCCAACGTGGACCTCAAAGCCCTCGAGATTCCGGGCGTCCGGTGTAAAAACACACGGACGGGAGCCCGGCTCCACGAGGTCGCCGGCGCTACCAGTGGCCCCAAAGCCGACGCCCTAGCGGCTAAGCTGAGGGAGTCACTGGATGCAGCTGACGTCCGAGTGTCCAGGCCCACTAAATGCGCCGAAGTTCGCATCACGGGCCTGGACGACTCTGTCACGGCGGACGAGCTCAGACTCGCCGTGGCGGAGACGGGAAGCTGCCCTCTGGACAGCGTGAAGGCCGGAGCAATACGCTTCGGCCCCGGTGGACAGGGGGCAGCGATTGTTAGCTGCCCCATCGCGGCGGCCCAGAAGGTCGCCGATGGACGGAGCCTCCTGGTCGGAGGTTTCCTGAGGGCGCAGGCACGACTCCTGCAGGCCCGACCGGCAAGGTGCTTCAGGTGCCTGTCGGTGGGGCACGTAGGGGTGCACTGCACGGCGGAGGCCACCGTAGGTGACCGATGCTTCCGCTGTGGCCAGCCCGGTCACAAGGCGGGTGGCTGCAACGCTGCGTTGCTTTAGGTGCGCAGCGGGGGGCAAGCCTGCCGACCACCGGGTTGGTGGTAAGGCCTGTGCCCTATCACGACCGAAGCCGGGAGGCCGACCTTCCGCCTCCGGGCCGCTGATCCAGACGGAGAGTGCCGCTGGACAGCCGCAAAGTTCGTTGCGGGATGCGGGGATGGAAGTCCAGTGATGGATCCACATCTCCGCATCCTCCAGGTGAACGTAGGCCACGGTGCCGATGCTCAGGATCTTCTGCTCCAGAGCATGGCACAGTGGTCCATCAACATCGCCGCTATCGCCGAGCCATATGTCCATCGGTTTCTCGGGCCTGCCTGGGAGACCGACTTGGACGGCACGGTGGCCCTGGTGCACGGTACCGCAGCCGGCACTCCACCTCTTGCAGTAGTTGCAAGGGGACGGGGCTGTGTAGCGGCGATATTTGGGGATATAACGGTCGTGGCCGTTTATTTCACGCCGAACCGAAACCTAACTGAGTACGAGCAATGGCTCGCTCAGCTGGCCGTCGTCGTCGAGGCCTGTCGCCCCCACCCGGTTCTTGTGCTGGGGGACTTCAACGCCTGGTCGCAGGCTTGGGGTTCCCTGCGCACGAACCCGAGGAGGCAGGGCATTGGAGAACTGGGTTGAAAGATTCGGCCTAGTTCTCCTAAACCGGGGGGCCGTGACCACGTTCGTGACGGCGAGGGGTAGTTCGATCGTGGACATCTCGTTCGCATGCCCCTCGCTAGCGCGTCGTGTCCAGGGCTGGCGCGTCGTTGTCGGGGAGGAGACAGGTTCGGATCACCGATATATTCGGTTTGACGTCTCCGCCCCTACAGACGGCGCGCCGGTCAGACCGGCACCACCTGAACCACGTTGGGCGCTCAAGCGCTTAGATCGCGACCTCCTCCTGGAAGTCGCCATCGTACAGGCCTGGGCTCATGCGCCGGACGGGCCTGTCGACGTCGATGCTGATGCACAGTGGTTCCGGGAGGCCATGACCCGCGTCTGCGATGCGGCGATGCCTAGGGCTCAGCCCAATACTGCGAGGCGCCAGGTCTACTGGTGGTCGCCGGAGATCGCACGGCTGCGTCAGGCCTGCGTGACCGCGCGCCGCCAGTGGTCCAGGTTCCGCAGGAGGCGTCGCCGCCCCGAAGATGCGGCAGCGAGAGAGGCGGAGATGTTAGCGGGTTACAGGGTTGCCAAGAGGACCCTTCAGGCAGCGATAAAGCGGGCCAAGAGCGAGGCCCGCCGCGAGATGCTGGCGACACTGGAGCGGGATCCGTGGGGACGCCCCTACCGTATGGTTAGGGGCAAGATGCGCCCATGGGCCCCGCCGCTCACACGGTGTCTTCAGCCAGAGCTGCTTGAGAGGGTCGTTGACTCCCTGTTCCCAACGCGAGTGGTGGAGCATACTCCGCCACAGATGGCTCAGCCTGCGGCGCTTGAGGCGCCTAACGTGGATAACGACGACGTGCCTGAGGTCACTGGGGTGGAACTAAGGGTGGCGGTGTTACGGCTTAAAGCTAAAAACACCGCCCCGGGACCCGATGGCATTCCTGGCCGAGCGTGGGTCCTGGCCTTAGTCGACGAGGCTCTCGAGCCCCGACTGCGAGGGTTCTTCAGCGCATGTCTCGGTAGGCGTGAAATGTCGTGCGGTGTTCCGCAGGGGTCGGTGTTAGGGCCACTCTTGTGGAACATCGGCTACGACTGGGTGCTTCGTGGTGCCTTCTTGGATGGTGTCGCCGTTGTGTGCTACGCGGACGACACACTCGTGAAGGCGCGCGGCAAGACGCACCACGAGGCAACCCTGAGGGCCACGGCCGGGGTTGCCCAAGTCGTTGAGCGTATCCGGCGGCTGGGTCTCGAGGTGGCTCTTCAAAAATCCGAGGCCCTGTTCTTCCACGGGCTTCGGAGGAAGCCGCCTGAGGGATCTAGCCTCACGATAGGAGGCACTCGCATCGGCATCGAGCCCTCGATCAGGTATCTGGGGCTCGTACTCGATGGCCGTTGGGACTTCGGATATCATTTCCGAGGTCTGGTCCCCAAGTTGGTTGGGGCAGCGCGTGCGTTGGCGCGGCTGCTGCCCAACATGAAGGGACCCGATGACTCCTGCAGGAGACTCTACTCGGGGGTTGTGCGGTCCATGGCCCTTTACGGGTGCCCAGTATGGGCGGGGGCCCTGAAGGCCAGCAACGTCGCGATACTGCGACGACCGCAGCGAATGCTGGCCATCAGGATCATAAGGGGGTACCGCACGATCTCCTTTGAGGCGGCGAGTCTCCTGGCCGGAACTCCACCGTGGGACCTGAAGGCGAGAGCCCTTGCGGCTCTGTATCAGTGGCGCAAGGAGGCGCAGGAGTTGGGTCGATGCCCCGAGATTCGAGAAATCGATGACCGGAAATCCCAACTCCGCCAGGTCATCATAGGGAAGTGGAGGGAACGACTCGGGCAACCGAGCGTCGGGCACGCCGTCATCGCGGCGGTAAGACCTGTTATGGAGGATTGGCTCGAGAGGCGTCACGGGACCCTCTCATACCGATTGACGCAGGTGATCACTGGGAAGGGATGTTTCGGAGATCACCTGTGTCTGATCCGCAAGGAGCCAACGCCTGAGTGCCACCACTGCGATGGCCAGACCGTGGACACGGCTCTCCACACGCTGGCAGAGTGCCCGGCGTGGGTTGAGCAGAGGCGAGACCTCGTGGCGACCATCGGAGTGGGAGTTCTCTCGCTAGATAGCCTGATTGCGGCTATCATGCGGAGCGAGAGTGCGTGGAACTCTGCCGTCTCCTTCTGCGAGCAAGTTATGCTCGCGAAGGAGAGGACCGGGACCGGGACCGGGAGAGGTTTAGAACCCTCCCTGCCCGCCAGGCCCGAGAAGGGGCCAGGTACCGCATGCGACTCAGGCGCCGGAGGTCGCAGAACGACCTCCGTCCTCCATAAGCGCAGGCCTGGGGGTGACAGGTGAGGCCATCTGTCACCCTAGCAGAATTAGGCCGGGGTGGCGGCGAGCGCGTTGCGAAGCGCGCTCGCTTCCAGGGAGCACAGGGAACATGGGGTTCCCACACGGGGGGGGTCGTCTACTCGTCTGTAGATGACCCGAGGTATGTCGGGGCACCAGGGACTTCCTTTCTAATGTATACCTGGTGCCCCGGCTATTAGTACCCGGCGACGGCGTGCGGTTTTAGTCGGTTCGAGTCCGACATGCCACGGACAGGTGGTATCCGAGGGGATTTCCGCACGGAAAAAAAAAAAAAAAAAAAAAGGTAACACTGCGGGGCGCAGCTAGTATATAATATTTTCATTGTAACAATGGTGTATAAGTAAATAGTTGTCTATCTAAATACCACTCACGGGTTGCCATTATGAGGACGGTGTGTATCAGCTACGTAGATATAACAATAGTAAAAAACACATTTTTACCTTGTAACGATTAAGTACTGCGACCTGCCAGGGCCATTTTCCAGGCGGAGCAGGCCGTCCACCTATTATGCGAACCATGTCGCGCATCCGCTGTCTCATCTTTGCAGACGGCGAACCCCGATAGCGACCAAGTTTACCGCAAACAGGAGAAGGTGATGAGGCTCTTGAATCTTCTGGGTGTATTGCTGGTGCAGGCGGCGACATTGGATTGGACTCCACTAATGTGTATTCTGTGAAAAAATATACAGTTATACTGAATGAATTCATATACCTTATGCATACAGCTAAATTATAACCTAATAAATACTATTGTTCTCATTTCCTAAAGAGAGATCGTGCATTATTTTTAAATTTTAAATTTTTATATTATTGTTAAATTTTAAGCAACAAATTATGTACCAGTTTAAACAATTACAGATCGCTTTCAGTTACAGTGTGGAGACTTCCACTTACAAAGAAACATACTTCAGCACCATCTAGCGAACTGTATCGCAATATGAACAATTCTCTCGACGATTAGCATATATACAACTGCCCAACATCAATCGTAATGCAGGCCGGCCAAGCATGATCATCTCGCTATATCTCTATAGATCCGTTGGAAGGACATGACATCCCTTCTTCCACAGCGGTGACCCTGACTTGATTGGAAGCAGCCTTCAAAGAAGATCTGCAGCATCAACATCGCCACCATTGTGTACACTCCCACAACGATGAGCAGTAATCAAGTCTCAGCCAGGAAGCAACCTCTGCCACAACAAGGATACCCCTTGCAGGTAGCAACCGCTTGAGGCTGGTTACCCTAAGGCCTCATCAGCGACTAGGCACAGCACACTACCTACGGTCAACGTAAGAAGAGCATCTCTCGCCCGAACCGACTCCGAACCGACTCCGGTTCCGTCCAAAGGACGGTCTACCTTTGGACAGAAACAGTAGGCAAACTGTGTGGAGGACATCGTTTTCAGCGATAAGATTCACCTAGCCCTAACATTCACAGTTTCTATAAGATATTGTAAAAGAATTGTCTATCAATGTATCTTAGTGAACATTCTTTTCTATTCAGTGAAACTATCAACTATGCTTTTTCTTGGTCTGCATTCTAATGCCTGTGAAGGTTAATTTTGTATAGCATATTTAAGAATAAATAATTCATCCACAGTTACATAACCTTATTGTAGCTATTTTTACATAAATTAGCATACCCAAATAGACATGTCTATGTTTATAGTCTGCATAACTTTAATATTTCATAAAATTTCTCAAACGCTAAACAATTTATGAATAGACTGCGAAAGATTTCTTAACACTTGCACGTGAAAAGTTATGCCTTACAGCATAAAATAGCTAGTAGATCATCATCAAAGCAACTAAAAAATCTTAATGTTTACCGACATTGACTTGCCGTATTACATATTCAAGACCTAGGCAGCTAACAGACTATGAACGCAAAAAACTTGTTTAAACTGTTTAGTTTTTTGATGAATCTATACTAAAAATAAATATTGTTGTTGCCCAATAAGTCGAGGCCTTTCGAAGCACTGTCTTCAACTTCAACATTAAAGTGTTAGTTGACTTTGATTATTATACTCGTAAATATAAGGCTAATAAATCGCCAATATAGCAAGGAAATCGTCACTACATTTTATTTCTTATTGAATAGAATAGCAAACTATGACGTCATTATAAACACGACAGTGTTATATACACATTTATATATATATACATTTGTATATAAATAAAAATTGAAGTATCTGTTCGTAATGTCAAAATATAGATTTTTTCATGCTCATACCGTTATTTGCACTATACCTAGGCCTAACCAGCCAAACCAGTTCAAATATTTTTTGTCATGCTGTCCGTCTGTCTGTTTGTTGTGTGGGTAATCTTCAAACCGGCTGAACCGATTTTGATAATATTTTACTACCGGGTAACTGTGTATATAAGGAGTCACTTAGACTATTTTTTTCCTCTCTGAAAAACCTTATAAAACTTTGCCCAGTCCGGGAGTCGAACTCGAGGCTTTATGGACTGCAGTCCGAACGAAGGCGCGGGCACCAGCTGGTTATATATAAATATATCTAATGAGGTTATCATATTTACCACAACATTTTAAATCAAATAGATAAAAAGATACTGTAAAAGTTCTATTTATGCAGACATCATTACAATATTTAAATAGGTAGACATTCTAATTACTCTTTGTCAACGTTGTAACAAAAAATAACAACATTATATATGCCTACATCAAGCGATTTCCTAAATATGTTTTCAATTTATATTAAAAAATTAAATACTTATGACTATGCGAATGCTTACTGCATACAGTTAAAATCTGATTAAACTTAAACTTACATAACTCTCAATTATTTTACTTAAACCATAATGTTTTATGTATGTATGACCATTGTATAAATCATTATCAAATATAAAACCGTACAGCCGATAATACAGTTAGTGGAGAGGTCTGAGATATTTAAGTACCGAGTAACCGTAGTAATTAATGTGTAATTATTTGTAGCCCCTGACGAGACTTGATACTGTTTATTTCGCTCAACAACATCCACGGGTTTAGTATTCTTTAAAAGAAAGTATAATAAATTATCGCACTTCACACGTCATCGAAATCTGAAAGACGGAGCTATTAGCGATGTAATATTTCACAATAACAATTATTAACTTGTTAACACAACTGTAAAACAAACATAAATCATGCAGTAGGAAGATACCCCTTAAAGTTTAGGTTACTCCGCTACGCACAGACTGTTGTATAAAGTGCAAAATAAATAATACACAGTAGCAAGATTTATGTATCTCTCGGGTAATCGTTTATCACAAGTTTTTTTACACACTATAAAAACGCACATAATCGTATATCAGCAACTTTGTCGCTCTCAGATCATATTTGATATTGTTTTTATGATCTCATACATTTAAACATGATTTAATCTATTTTTTAATATTTTTAATATTTATTTAAGCATTTGTTACTGTCATTATTTATTAGGTAAATAAATATAAATTTCAAGTTAAAGAAGTTAAACCAACACTTTTAATAATTAAGATATGAAACGAATTATGAAAGTATCTGAATGAATTGTTTGCATACCACAATCTACAACAAATTTTATTGGGCATCTTTAACTTTTGTTATGCTATTTTTTCCAGTGTACAAGAGAAGTAACTGAGATAAGAGCAAGGGCAATCACCAATATGTGTATTGTTTTGTTTGTTAGTTTCAAATATTATGTTATTCACCTTTCGGCGCTATTTATAAATACTTTACGAAAACAGTAAAAGCAAACTACCAACAAATTGAACAATTTTATCACGTATAATTTTATTGCAAATTGCTCAAGCGGTTCAATCTGTAATCATTAATTTGCATAAATTTAACAACGTTAAACGTGTCGGTGTCGTAAGAGAAATTAGATAAATAAAATTACTGAGTATAATACGCGCATGTTAGTATAATAAATACTGTTAGCGTAGTACCTATGTGCAAGTTCACCTGGGTTCTTGCGCCGCTGCATTTTGCCGCGAATCCATTGGTGGCAGTAGCTGCCCTCCATGTAGCAGTAGGCTGACTGCCTCACTACTTGACGACCACATATAGCTCGTTTTAAACAGTTTCTGTGAAAATAATCAGTTGATCGTGACACGGTAACAAGTCAGAATATCCCTGGAGATGTGTACTTTTATTTGAAACCATCCTTGTCATAGATAAAATGTACTTAATAATAGAAAACTCATCTTGTGCTCTTCATATTGTCAGTAGAATAGAATCATTTGTATAAGCATAAAGAACTTTAAAACGGTAGGCAAAGAAAGTAGCTTTCTGTACAAACAAGGAAAACGTGAACCCCTACCTCGCTAAGGAGAGCATTTAAAGGGCGGCAACGATGTCAATTGAAGGACATATCGTTCAAACTTGCGATGACGATGCGTAAGTCAACGAACACCCCTCCCTTCCCCCCAGACCCCTCTGAACCTCTCTCATACAGCAATGAGAGTATATTTGCCAACATAGGAAACTTGGTGTACACAAAGTAGTAAAATATAAGAAAATTGTAGTTTTAGAAAAGTATGAGGTTTTCCTATTTTTGTTGTTTTAAGATGAGATTGGTTATTTTTACTTTATGTATTTTTTTAATTATACCACAAAGTGATGAATAAGTTTTGATGTTTTCGTTTAAGGAGTATTTAATTGTTTATTAAACATAATGTACTTCATTAAGCTAGCCTTCTCAGCTTCCCAAATACTTAAGTGTGTTAATGTGACCCGTATTTATTGCTCTTGAGAATATTATCAAAACTTTATAAACACTGCCCAATCTTCCAGTATTATAATTTATAATCAGCTGTCTTCGGTAACTGGCAATCGTTTCTTAGTATTTCTATTTTTGTAAACGATAATACTACTTTGATTTAGCGACGACTCATTCTATTTTGATCTTATTCTTAAAAGCACAATATTGTCTACAGTTCTATGATTCATAATAGGAAAGTTAAAGTGTGCATGTATTGTTCTTTCGAGGCAAAGCTCTATGAATTTTAAGTGGGGCAAAGCAGGGATCACAACTATATAATTTTGGATGTTGGAAAAGTTAGCTTTCATAAAATTGGGGTAAAACTGAGTAAAATTGTTTATTCTGAGCACGTGGCGTAGGTTTAGATAAAGTTTTTCTCGTTTCTTTGACTAGCCAAAACTACATAAGCTTTGAACACTGATCATAAAAGGAAACAAAACAACATGTTTTTCTAATTAACTGGAGACTAATCCAGTTAATTAACTAATTAACTGGATATTACATGGAGTTTTGAATACTTATAAACGAGAAGTCTGATTCCTATTGGTGTTACGAGATATTATTAGCTTTACCAATAAGTTAAAACTATGTGAAAGAGTGTTAATATTTATGAAATAAAAAAACTACTTATTTCCAATGAAAGACTGTATAAATAAACTAAAAAGTTAAAAAACAATGCGTATTGTTCTCGGTTCTAATCAATCTCAATACATTTCTAGTTTAGATGGAGGTTGAATTCTTGTACCGTAATATTTCTTTCTCCGCGCCTATATTGAGACGAGGATTTACAACATGGGACCAGTAGACGGTAATGTTCACGTACCTACCTATCTATTATAGAAAATAGCCCCCAAAGGAATATACAGGTTTAATAGTAGTAGGCGTGAGATCTACTCATAAGTTATTGCAGTTTTCCAACACCGCTCTGATGTTAGAAAGAAAAATGGGTGATGTTGATAGCACTTTAACTGCAAGCATGGAATGTAACTATATAAATACACTACTACTACTTAAAAGACATATATCAGAATCCACGCTTTTCATCAGACACTTCGTTACTGACTAGATTAACAAATTGCAGTCAAAGACAGAGTTGAGATGTCCATGAAAATGAGACACTAGCTACCTTTCGACCTACTTGTCTGTGGCATTCAATTTTCAAATATCATCAGCCCTGATTCCCATAAAAGCAGATGGAATGTGTTACGTTAAAGATTTTAAATAGAATATGTTTTTATTTCGGAAGTTTTACTGGTTTAAGATACTCGTATTTATTACTCACAAGAATACAATTCACTTATATTGACAAATACAAATTATGAACTTACTAGTAAACTTATAATCTACGAGCGTATTTGACGGTGTCACCAACCATTGAACTAAATTATACAACTGAAATTAAAATGTGGGTACATTAAAAAGAAAATATAAAGGTGCCGGGTCGCATTACGTATGAGTGTCTGATAGCGAGCGGGTATTGTACAGTTGCAATCGTGATGCTAAAAACTAGAGTACTCTCTAAAGATGTGGAACTTAAGAGTTTTTCTAAATAAGTTGATTGATTGCATTTCTTTCTTGTTATTTGGTAATTTATTACATGGTTGGGCTCCTTCATGTAAAATATTTTTCTTGCCGTGGTTGGTTCGTGGGTGCCTTAAAAATAAATTATTCTTTCGTCTTGTTATCTTTTTTGTAAATTTACATTTACAAAAAAAGATAACAAGACGAAAGAATAATTTATTTTTATACTTAGTATGTATATTTTTGTCTAAGATTTTTCGTACTAGTAGACATGTATTGAATTTACATGTACTTTTCAATCTATCATGGAGAATATCCATAAAAACTAACTTTAAAAATTATGCAATGATTTTTATGGTTTCTCTCAAGAATTGATTGAATAATTCCAAAATAAAATAAATACTTCGATTTAAAATGTGATGATTAAAATTTAAAATCACACCCGTAGTGAGATTAGACGAAATTGATAAGACAATTAAAAAAAAACATTCTCATGCGCTTCTAATAACAGACTTTGGTCTCGTATTTATGTTATCGATAGTTCTTTTCAATAACTCGCACCAATCACATTATATCGCGAGCAAAACTTTGATTGATTAGTGTATTTGTGTTTTATTCCCTCTTCTCTCTTTCAGCGAAGCTGTCGTAAGTTACATTTATTTTGAACTAGTACATTGATAAAATGTGCCACTAACATCTATTTCATTATACAATGCCTATATTTAACAGGCTCGATCGGAATAATACACGCAGTCACAGAAAACCGGTGTTAGGCAGTTCTTTCGTTGCTTTTCAGCGAGTGAGTGAGGTAAAGCCAAAACCCTCCCCCTCCCCCCTCCTGATTCTGGAGGAAGGGGCAAGTGTCCATGGGTGGCGGTAGTCACTTAACATCAGGTGACGCGACTGCTCCGACTTTACGCCTCTATACCATACAATTTTTTTTATCCTGATAGGTTAGTTTTGATTATTTTCCGCCAAAACACACACTGTCTTAAATGTGGTATTTAGTTTTGTGAATAGGAGCCTTACCAGTCACGCTTGTCATAATAATAGGTATTGATCTATTATCACGACAAGTGTATTGACACTGTTCACATCGTAGGGAGTGTCCTGGGTGTGACCTAGTACAGTCTGACACTATGTAATATCAAGAGCTCTTTACGCCAGGATCTTTGTTTCTGCTTTATAGATAAATACCTAAATATCTCCATTCATACACTTTTATGTATTTATGGCTATAATCGCTAAAATTTATAACTGTTTTGAATTAATGTGATAACTGTGACACTCTGTTTTTTTCTAGCATAATGTTTAAATAATACGAGTAAATTACCCCATATATTTTGAGTTGTGTGCAAGAAATATTTTTTTACTTGTAAATGGATTATCAAACACTTATCATTTCAATGAATAATATCGCGACATTTATGATTAACCATTATTACTTTAGTAACCTAAATTTTCCGAGTCAGAAGTAACCCACCACATTTCATAATTGTTTGCTAATGTAATAAAAGCTCAGCGCGAATCATGTTTACACGATAAACTATTAGGACAATAAGGCATAATTTCACTTTGTTTCATATTTCTAACTATGATAAAAACAATCTATTTTTCACGAATACTAGTTACCATTACTATTAATATATATTTGGCAAAACATTTATCGCCTGAAACAAAATATGTGTAAACAAAATGTATATTGTATAGACGTTTGATATTTTACATACCTGCTATATTTACAAGCACTGAAATCCTCTGTAATCTGAAATTTCTAAGAACCTAAATGCAACGCGGAAATTCGAAGTATTCAAATTTTACATTTCTCCTCAATTCACCAGAACATGCTACAGTCAAATAGCTATGGTGTAAAATTGATTGAACGGTAATAAATCGTGTATTCAAGTGCTAAAGTTATGTTTCAGAAATAACGCACAGTTAAAAAAATAAAAATTACTTTAAATTTCAAGAAATTACCTGCTGGAAATACATTCGCCTTGCTTTATTATATTTATAATAAAAGCTTGATAAGTTTTTAACAGTTTAAATACGTTATGCCATATAAAAGCTTAATTAAAAAGAAAAACAATGAATTATTGTTTTCATGCAGTATAAAGTGTTTTTATGTTTCGACATAAGAGACAATATTATGTAAGGTAACTAACGTCTTCCTTTCTATGCCCAATTTTTTCCCGTTATTAGATCACAATTTGTTTGTGTTATACAATGTTTAAATACTTATACGCTTTCTTTTATAATAGGAGAAATCCTTATGTAATTAACCTTAACACACTGAGGACGGCCGTTAATTTTGTTGAAATGATTGGCCGAGCCCATAAAAATCTTCTATCAGTAGACATATTATATGGTGTTGACAAGACAGCACCAATGCCCAGTAGTTATATGTGTATTACGTCATCCAGCAGTAATCGTCATAAATAACATAAACTTCCCACATGGAATACAAGGCGATAAATTGGCCTTTAGCTTTTACCAAAGATCTGTCGCAGACCAATTAGCCTAAACATATACTTTAAATAGAAATAACTATGACACCATCTTTGTAAATCTTGCAATTGCTTGTAAATCTTGCGTGAGCAAAATCTTTGTAATCAATCAATTAATTTATGGTTGCTAATGAAAGTCGAACTAACCGATCGTTTTCAGTTCAAAGAGAAATAATGGCAAAGATTAGAATTTTGTAAATTAGATACACTAAAAATTTTAGTTTTTTTGTCAGAAATACAATTATCTTGCCCACTGAAAATCGATGCAGACTGCAATACGTAGAGCAGTATGTACTGACCTTCGTCTTACCGTGATACATCTTTTGGAGCAAATGGTCCACGAACTCCACTGTGAGAATCCTCGAAATCTCTTCTGTACATCCTCGGAATCCAACTGACGTAGTTGTGGCTGTTGATCATTTATAAAATTGTCATTTCCATATATTCTCTTACCATTATGTATTATTATGTCTTATTATGATGTACCTACACCTTAATAAGGTGCTAGTTACACCAATTGAGAGATACAATTGTTTATTTACCGCAACCACAAATCTTTCTACAAGTATACTGTTTGTTTTACATATTAGTGGTATTTAAACACATAACCTACAAACCCGTTAATCTAATTAAAACATCAAGTATTGTTAAAATTATTTCATTATCATCAGGAATTTGCGGAATTTTGTCAAAGTGTTGAAAAACAGGCGTATTAATTTGATAACATGTATGAAATGATGTGATATACAATGTACGGTAAAAAATTTAATAAAGTAACTTCATCTTGTATATTGTTGTAATACTTGAACTTGTATGTACTTACAATAACAAATTTTGTTTCTTTTCTCACAACACTTGGTTTGTTGAGTTGAGCTGGATACGAATCTATGCACCTGTAAGAGAAATACTATCAAAATTTTCTTTAGATTCGAATTCGTCGATTTCAACATGTTTTAAAGAAAGCTATCTAACAGGATATTAAGCACAAACAAACTATTATATTTATTTATATATATATTATATGTATGTAGGTTAATTATTTGGCAATTTAATTAGCATTTTACATTAATTAGTTTTGATTTTATAATGAGTTTTGAATCTGTTAACTACAGTACCAAATTAAATCTAATTAGTTAAAATCCCATTAATATTCCTAAATTTAATAATAATTCGTTAAGAACCGTAAGAACCGTTAAGAACCGTTCGTAAAGAACCTTTAGGAATGATTAAAAGATATAAATAAACGGTTTCATGTCGGGGTTTACAAATGGAGCAGATTTTCAAACGAACATTTGCAAACAAATCAATTCCAGTCTAGAGAACTTCATGATTCAATGTTTTATATGAGTTTTCTGTTGGTATTCAACAGATTTTCTTATTTCTAATTCGAACATCTCTACTTAGCAACCAGCCATCGCAACCGTTGAAGTATTTGGAATTTTGTAGTAAAAGTAGATTTGTATTCGATAAAACTTCATCTGCATGTAAAATGTAAAAATTTTGGTATATTTTCTATACCTCCTATCTTAATCTGCACATGGAGTAGATCATTTGCTTATCTATAAAGTATTATAATATATAATTCCTGTAACAAGAAACCTACTATAGCAATTATACAAAATAATGTAAAAATTGTAAATGTAAAAAGGAATTGAATTAAATACTTAATAAATATACAACTTTAAATTATTGTTTAGATATTTCTAGTTTGATGTTAAAATTGTTCCATGTTGATCAATTGGCAAAACGGTTTATTTGCTATAATAATGATCCATATGAAACTGGTTTTCTTAAAATAATAGTTTACTTGCTCCTTATACTAACAATTTCTAAACAACTTTATGCGACTTTAGTTTTCTTAGGTCGTCTGTCAATCAAATTTATTATTGAAGACACTGTTTTGTATTATTCAAAATTATGTTATTGTTTACATAAAACATCTGGATAATATTAAATTTATCTAAAAATGAAAACGGTTTTGTAAAGTACCAGACCTTAGTTAAAGGCATAAATGAAATCAAATTCAGATAACAAAATATAGTGTAGGAGTAATTTAATCATCAACATCAACAGCTTTTAATAGTCCACTGCTGGACATAGGCCTCTCCTTAGAAAGGAGGTTTCGGCCTACTATACCACAGACGGGTTTGTTTCAAGTTTTCCTTCTCTAAGCTTGGAGTAATTTGATAACTCATTAAATTATATGAATAATTTTAAATTTAGAATGCTTTGTCGAAATTTTGATCAGTTTATATACCTATATATCTATGTCTAGAAGTGGACTTTTATAGGCTGTTGATCATGATGATAAATCTATATAAATATTAAGTTGGTTTATTTTTCTTCTTTCTTCTGGCTTCAAAAACTTAAAAAGTTCTGCACCGATTAAGCTCAAATTTTGACACGATATTTTTGTACAAACCGTTTCAACCACTGTTTTTATCTTCTTCAATTGTTGTGCCTCATTTCTCATCAACGTTATTTCAATGTGCCTCAGCAAAGCGTTTCAGGGTAAATTTAGTAATATATTATTGTGGAAACCAAAAGGCGCCTATTTCAATGCAGTATGAAATTTTTTAACTCCTTTTTTGAACTAGAGATAATCAAGTTCTGACTTGCCAGGCTTAAAATATTTAAGCTTAAAAAATATTTCTTTGAAATTCATCATCGAGGGTTACTCATCTCTAACAATTATGTAATTTAATAACTGGTCAATAATAATCATTATGATTTTCTGCAAAACGACTAGTTACATTCGCTTTTAGTATTTTATGGATTCCGCACTGCTAAATAAACAGGTAACTGTTGGTAATAGTTACTCTCGAAAAAAAAAACTGTCATATGTTTAATCTGTATTTAAGGAAGCTTTCTTCCCTATGTATTCTTTACTTAACATTCATTGTATGTTACTAACCAGAAATTAGAAAAATCAAAAAGCAAAGTAAAGGTTTTGAAGATCTTGGTAAAGTTTCAAACAATCTCTGGAAAACCGAATGTTCGCAGGAAATATACTCAATCAACAAATAGTTAGTCTGATAATAGACATTTCTTTAATTTCGTTTAATTTCTTTAAAATCGTAAATTGTAAAAGCAGAGTCTGGATCGGTATGTAAAATAAAATCTTTCTGCAATGTACAGGCAATCACTAACTGTGTAATAGTTACTATTCTTATACTAACATCCAAATATAACTTGATGAATTACGTATACGTATAAAATGGCGTAAATTTATTATGCGGCCCCACTGTTTAACAATAGTTTAACTTCCATTGAGGAACGTTATTAACATTTAGTGCCATTATTTATCACATTTGTATAACATATCATTATATATATATAAATATATATATATATGAAATAAAATAAGGTCCCACGATACTATACATAAATATAACAAATAATGAACAAATTTAAAAGAATCATAACTTTTGAAACATATTGCATGTTTTAATATAAAGTGAAGTTTGATATTTCTCCTGAAGATATGGACGATTTATACAAACGTTTGAAATTATTCATATTCAATATATAATAATAGATGGTACCTTGCGATTTCTATGCGAAGAGAGTCGCCGCATATTTGTCGATGTAAACAGTGCCGTCGTCTGGTTTTGCTGCCGCCTCGACACTCGCTCCACCGACCCCAGGTCGAGTATAAATTCCGCTTCGAATGTGAATCTACGGTCAAACAGCATTACGTATGGGCAGAATTTCTATTTACATATCCAAAAAATTTACAAAAGAAACATTGAGACCCACAAAACTTTCATAAGAATAAGTAAAGTCATATGTTACTTTATTCAATATTAAAAGAGGATGACCTTAATGAATATTCTATGGACTAGTCCGATGGCTCCTTAAAAGGTTTAGTTATTAAAATATCACAAACTAACTTTTACTATTTGATGACGTAATATTAAAAAAGAACACTATGCGTTTATTAATCTGAAAATGAGTACTTTGATTTAAATATGAGGTGTAAGGATATACGTCTTAGATCGGACATCGTTTATAAATATTATGTCACGTTTTATTATTTACCATGTGTACAAAGGCTACAGAGTTATTGTATTTAGTTGCGTACTGTAAACCTTAATTCATATAATTTTTTAATTCTTCTTATTCTATATCACTATTTTCTTCTGCCTTAGGATTTAAAACTTAGTCACAGTAAACTAACTTATTCGCACTAACCTTGTCTGTATTCAATAACTTGTGCCCAGTTTTTACTATAGTTCCTGTTATTCATACGATCATTGTCATGCTGTGTTGTAACATCGCTTTCAATCTGCAACATTCATAAATTCTCATACAATATATCAATATACCAACAATACATAGTAGGGCGATAACAATCTCTATCCTGCATGGATAACTAGGTCAGCTGTTTTGAAAAGCTACAGTTTCCTCACAATCATTGAAATCAAACAAGACATTTTTACAATTTGGCTGAACGATAGATTTTTTGTGAACGGAAGTACGTTGAGCCAACAATGTTGATGCGCCTAGGCTCTTTTAATCAAATGTGCACATCTACTCAATGCAGTTCTGATTGCATATGAATGTTTACAATTTGTTGAATCAGGAAATGAATTTATGTATAGGAGCTTTAACATGTTTCCATAGGTTAACAGATTCAATTAAAAATACTAGTAAAGTAGTTATATTCTCAGGATATATGTACAAATGTGAAATGTCTTCATCATCAACAGCCTTTAGTAGTCCACTACTGGGCATAGGCCTCTCCTTAAAAAGGAAGTTTTGGCCTACTACACCACGCTGGTCAAATGTACTCGTTTCAAACAAAATTACTATACGTACTTTGAATCTTGCACAACCTGAAAATATTTTTATTTTAAGATTGAAAAATAAAACCGGACATATATATTAAAATATCTGCTTTGACGGTTGTTTTCAACAATGCTAATTGTTTAGTACGCTTATTACATTTATTTTCAGGCTTCTGATATAAAAGTAAGGATAATGTATTTTACAAACATTTTGATAATTCAACTACTATGTTTGTAAAACAAACATTTTGATAATTCAACTATTTTTTTTTTTTTTAATAGACAACTCCCTCATTAAGAATATATCCTGTGTCTTCGCTGGGACTTTACAAACAAACATGAAACGGACACAAAGAACACCCAGATGATCTCTCCCTAAATATTTGTTTAAATCAGACTTTTGATTTACGAGTAAGTAATATAGCTGTTTGATAATAATTAAAAAAGTGAAAATTCATTTCATTTTAGAAAATATAAGATAGTATGTAAAGAACATTATTAAAATTTTACAAACGAAAACATTACTTATATTACGACATACTTACTTCATCCCCGGCAATAATTTTAAACGCTATTATGTTAAAAATAATTACAGGACACAGCCACTTCATATTCTTCAGTCCTGGCCGCTATAACCCCATCAGAATACGGCATCTAAAACGAAAAAGTATTACATGATAATTAAGAGTTACTTTAATGTAAAAAAAAAACTTACGCGGAGTAGAAATAAATTGGCATTTTGATGAAGGGATACATTTATAAAGTAACCTGAAACAAATTTCAGGTTACTTTATAAATGTATCCCTTATATAATAATATTTACTAATAATTTCCCATATTATACTGTTAAATTTACCTCAAAGGAAACATATTATTCAAAGGCCCTATGGACTACAGTAAAGCTTGAGTATGATTTACAAAAAATATTTTACATTCTTAACACAAAACTTTCTGGATATGGATGAATAACACAAAACAACTACAACCAATGTTTAAATTAGCAATTAAATGTCTCCTGATTAGTTGACTGATAACTGACGAGTTAATAAATCATTTTTAAATGTTAATAACTACTTTCATTTGAATGAAAACTAACAGGAAATACGAAAAATAAGCTCTATCTTGTGGCTATGCTTTCGCTATAAGAGTTTTTTTTTTTCTAATCCCTCGGTTTTTTTTTTGGATCAAAGGTGCCTTATGACCTTTGCATACAGTAAAGTTGCCTTGGTAACGGGAAACCATTTTAATGTTATAGTATGAACGGTTCGGAGCGCATAAAATACGAATAAACAATCAATGATTTCTATATATTAGATTTGATATTTTTATATCTCAGTAAATAAATAATTATCTAATGTGTATCGTACTCGACTCGCTTATAAGTAAAATTTAAAAACCGAACAAATGCGAGTTGAATTAGAGCTCATGCAGCATGCCAGCTATATCGCACGATTTCGGTTGCACCGACCACGTAGCAATCTTCCGGCAGACTTCCGGCCACGAAAACGTGCAGGCGACTAGCGATGAGCGACTACTTGCGACTGATCGATAACAATATCATTTTGGTATAGTCTATAATAATAATTTAGTTACCTATTTGGGATTATTGTTTGGTTTCGTGAAGAATAGTGCTTAGAGTAGAAATGGATATGGTATCAAAATTTTTATTTTTGGAAAATTGTGTTTTACGGATTATGGTCATCAAACGGATGAAGAAAAGGAGAAGATTTACGGGCGGTTACGAACTGCATCTATTAAGTCTCCTGCATCCATCATAATCATAATAAAATCAATAACAAAAAGTTGCGCTACGCAGTCGCAATCCACCGCTGACGACTGGTCGCTGCAAGTCGCGCGACCACTGGGCCTCAATTCTGCTATTTTATGTTCACTCCAAGCCACTGTCATACCACTGACACGCTATTGAGATGCCATCGAGTGGCCATTGGCATCGGTATAAATATCGGTAGTGTACACTAACTCAGTGTCTTTACAGTGGCAATGGAATGGCAGTGGCTCATCAGTGGTGATATCAAAAAGATTGCCATATTTGGAAAAATAAATAAATCATTTCCTCAAAAAAACGGAATATATTTTCAAATTATAAGGAAACGATTGATGATCAAAAAAAAACACGTGAGCCTTACAGCAGCCAGTATAGTAATAGTGTAATAATGTATAACATCTACTATCTGCACCGCGCGCGCTGATTAGTCAAATCACATAGCGCGCGCTTCCCCTTCTCTTCGACTTGTCCCTTTTTACAAAATTAATCCCTAATATTGCACAAAAGTAAGAGGAAAGATGTTATACTTAAATTAGTATAAACCTCTTTTACTGAGAAGATCAACACGCTGTCTAAATCTTAGCGACCACTTTTATGTTGAATACCGTTCAGCGGTACGGTGTACTGAAGTGATCTTTAATTAATTTAAATCTTATAATAATCATCTACGAGTATGTAACTTTTTTGAAGAGGCCTAAATGGTTTGTTACTATATCAATTAATATTACACGGTCACCTGTTGATGTACGGTATTTGTTTTTACTAAATTTGGAGATATTAAAAACCCGGAGGACCGAGTTACATTTTTTGTTGTCAACATTTTTATAAACAGATTATTTTTTTTACAAAGCAAAAGATCAAAAAGAACCAAAACGTTACAATGAAGATTTTATTTATTATATAAAATGTTTATCAGTGATATCTCATTAAGAACGCCCAAATTCTGTCAACAGATTGAGCCATGATCCCAAAACACTTAGAGAATTTCGATTTCAGATAATGTTTATAGGTAGGTAGCAGTGAATTAAGGTTCGAAATCAATTTAGCCTTTTATGTGCTTAATCTAAAACAGTTAATCTTAGAAAAAATACAAAACTTCTTAAATAGATCAAATTACCAACTTTTAATGCTAAAGAATTTGTTATATATATTTGTATAATCATAAAGGGTTCAAGGGATGAATAGTGTCACAAATGAGTTGGTTCATTAATTTAAGTGGAAACTAGAATTTTAATTATTTCAAAGTTATTCATTGCAAATAAAACCATATAAGGACTTTAATATCGATTTGGATTTAACTTTTTATTACTAGTCAATTTTAAACCTTTTAATTACTTTCACAAGCTTATGAAATTCATATATCATAAATTACAAAATACAATTTACAATTATTATTCATCATTAAGTTTCTAGCCTAAGCTACTTGTATCCAGGGTAAGGCTAGCCTTCTTGATTATATCTTCGTGCCATCCCACGAGCGCCCTTCCTTTGCCTTTTTCCAGTATCTATCTACCGTCTTCTAATCACGCCACATGCCAAACTCATTTCCATTATTGTTTTAGATAATGATGTTGAGCGTCAGTCATTTTTGAGATGTGTCTAATTTTTGTGTATAATTTATTTGATGTTTCTTATGCTGAGAATACTGCATTCAATTTCCCGTTTTCAGGTGGTTATTTTCTGAAATGCTTTTGTAACATTAGTACATTACTAAAGTATTTCAGAGCAATTCACATGTTTGACAGTTTGGCAGGCACGGTAAAAGGTATGTCGTCATTGTTTTAATTTGTAATGGCATATCACGTTTAAAGATTTATTTCAAGCTTCAAGTATTTGTTTTACGTAATGATGTATGGATCGTTCTAAGTCAATACTTGTCAAATCTTGCTTATTATAGTATTATATCTATTTTTCTACGTAGCTCAGTAATTTTTTGTCGACCGAAATTGTTATTCTAAGCTATTAGTCATTCGGAACTCTCAACACAAAACTGAGGCACCGTAATAGCGGCAGCTCTGTGTGTATGAATTAATTTTGAGGTTTTCAAGTTACCCAAATTTATGCCCTAAAAACACAGTTAATAAATGAAAATATTTTATTTGTTCGAAATTTTACTGTTTAATGTCCTGAATGCTGAATCATTTTCTTTCCTAAGTTAAGTAAGTAAGGTTCTTGAAATTTCCTCTAATTTAGAGAAGTGGTGAAACCGAATCATTTAATATTTTTACTGCTACATATCTAGTGAGACTTATTTGTGTTCTATTCGAAAGTATGTTCAGACTCTAAGTTTAAAAAATGCTTTCATTGCAGACAAACTTTTCTGTAATTTTTGCGTGAATATATTTCTGTTGTCTTTATTTTCGCCATTACAATTTCTAATTATTTGAATCAAATAATTTCTCTATACGCCATTTTACTTATTATTGATCATCAGATTGAATTATTCATTTACCTATGAAACGTGATTCTTGGATTATTTTTCTTTCAGTCATTACGGTTTTTACAGCATTTCACTACGCAAAACATATGGTATATTTAAATTTTTTCGCCGCGTAATGGCCGACTAATGTGTGTAAGTGTGTGTACCGGCATTTACGTGCAGCGAGCTGGCCGACTGAATGACACAGTTTTTTGTTAGCGAGACTTTATCCGACTTTCTTTATACGTCCATGGTCAATAACATCGTTTTTATTTCATTAATATCTAAGCCTACTTATTCATCAAGCTTATTTAATTATTCAATCATGATTTGCGATTCTGTGTTTCAGGGACGAATTTTAGGAAAAAAGATTTGCCCTGTCGTACGCCGTATTATGAAAGCTAGGGCCGCTTTCATCAAATTTTTATCTATGTTTGCTAGTACATCAATTGTTTATGATGTACCTGTAAATATTTATTACTTCACTCGATATTATTGTATTAAAGTAGTGTAACGAAATGGATTATTTTCTTGGTACTTTTCAATTAATAAATTCATAGTCTGAATAAGAGCTATCGTAGAAATACTTTTTCTTAAATGTGTAGGTTCCAATATGATGCTTATCCTTTTTGACTCGACTTGTAAGAAAGAAAGCTTAGATTTAAACAGCAGTAAACTAATGGTATGTAGTTTGTTATTAAATTAATATTATGATTGCTTCAAACCATTATTCTAGAACTACATATTTACGATTTTGTGTGTGAGGGTTTATGTCGCTTTTTTATTAATTTCTATTGAATTATTAAAGGTAGATTAAGTAGAACGATTTCGAATGTAATGTTAATACCACTTTATACCCTTGATCAGCAAATAACAAAAGAGTGTTATAAAGAGTCTCTATATTTATAATGTGTTTGCAGTAGTTTATTGTTTTTTATTACCTAATTAATCCCTCCGTCTATGTTTCGTTTTAACTAAAAGCGTTCTTTGAACCATGTGATCCGTAGTCGTATTTTTGCATTTATTTATTAGGTTTTATAGCTCTGTGGTTATATTTTTAATGAAGTAGTATTGGTGGATTTATGTAGTACTTGTTTCCTCCACGAAAGTACTCTAGTATTTACGTTTGGTTTCATTATGAAGTATTCCTCTGCTCTCTGTTGCATCTACTATGCATAATTATAATATTTTTGTGTGCTGTGTAGAAATAGTTGACTTCTTCTTAATGATTTTATAGGCGTGTAAATTTGTGTGTTTTTTGTTACAGTAGAAAATTAGAATTAGATTTAATAGTACCACTCAATCAGAAATGCGAGTAAAGCTTTTAACGACTTGACGTTTACAGAATTTACGTATTCCAAAATCGACTTCACATATTCTCTGAATCTATACTAATATCAAAAGCT